GAAGCACTGCAGTGGACTCCCCTGTCCAGTGACCTCGCCGCCCTTGATCGGGCTGAACTCGACCATACGCCAGGGCACGATAGCAAGAGACTCATTGGGGAAGGACTTGCCGACACGCTGAGGAATGATAAGTTGCAACCAGCGTATGCTTCTGTCGATCCTGTCGAGACGCGACCTATGATGGCTAGTCCCATGACGATCAAGCATATCGAAACAGATGAGAGAGACGTAGAGGAGGAGGGGGTGATGATGAGCGAATCTGAAGGCACAAAAGAGAGTTTTTCGAACGAAAAAGGAATTGCAGGGCAATCAGCGCCCGGACAGACGGGGGAAACAGAACCCGAAGAACAGAACAGTACCAGGCAAAGTAACGTCACGACAGCGGACTGGACAGATATGGGGCCTGCTATGGACGACCTAAAAGTCACCGAGACTGAGGTCGATACAGATGTCGCGCATCCGGCCGAACCGGGACTCGACCCTACAACGCAAGAGGTGCCAACGGCGGAGCCACCTGCTGCTGCTGAGGTCCCCGCGGCAAACGAATCTGTGAGAGCTCAAGAGGTGGACACACCAGAACTTAAAGGGGTTGGAGCGGTACATATCAACACTGACGAGCAAACGATGCGGGAGAAGACGTCTCTTGATGATGACTTCTCAACGGCAACAGCAGCGACTACGACAGATGCCCAGAAATGATGTAAGATTAGGAGCTGGGGAAACTGCAGGCGATTTTTGCATAGGCACGGGTTGATTGTCCAGGCATAAGGAGGCGCCATTTCTTCTTTTCTTTTACTTGATGGAGGTACTGCCGGCTTCAAATTCATTTGGTGGTCACAATGGTTTTCATTTTATGCGGCATAGCATTGGTGTAGAAATCCAGGGAACACTGTTCGTGGAATAGAAGACGGCCTTTGAACATCTTCAATCTTTACCGAGACTCGGGACGTGAATAGAGTCGCATTTTGAGATATCGTGAAATCAGAAAGTTGTGAACTCGGAATGTCGTGGAATCAAAGGCAGGGCTCTAGCCGAGACTACCCAAGTTGGGTGAGAAATGTGACGATGTATGCGTTCATGACTTTTCAGCATAAGTGGGTAGTTTGTCCAAGGTGATGCCTCCGGTGACGACTCTCGCGTCAGCCACATGAAGTTGGCCAGTAGTTGTCTCGTCCGAGCAGGGATGGCCGTTCGTGGGTTACTCGCTTGACGACGAGATCACTGGGGAACGCGAGTCAAGTCATTGATACGTGTAAACACTCCGTAGATGCAAGTGCTTCCTGCAATCGATTTGCCACAGCTCGGCAGTCTTTGGAAGGGAAAGAAACGGCCTAGATGCTTGGGTACAAATAAGCAAAATTGGTGAGTCTGGATCTCGAAAAGAATGAAGCGGTGTGTAGGCTGGTCGTCTTTACCGATTTTGGGGTAGGTAAGGTGCGGCAAGGAGCTTGGAGCTTGGGTCGCCTCACACATCCATCAGGTGCGGCTACTGATAATAAGGTACGGGTGCGGATAGAGAGCTCTGGGCAGCGGCTGCAAAGAGGATGGGATGAAAAAGGAGTGCGTCTCTCTGTTCCCTTGGTGGTGACTGGTGACGGGGATTGGCAGGGCGGATCGGGTGTGGCGTCGGCCAAGTGCGAGAGGGGGCGCCTGGCCAGATCGGGTTAGCATAGAAACATTCCAGAATGGTCAGCCCAACCAGCTGAAGACTCGAGAAACAGGCCCCGAGTCCCCTTTTGCGATTATCGCAGGCCATCGATGTATCAGTGTGAGAAGACACACGTGACCATCGCCACCGCCGTGAAGGGAGCATGGAGATTGCGCATGGCAAAAAGGATGGCCTTCAAAGAGCCACGAGCAGACAAACCTCGGGACGATAGCGAGGCAAAGACAACTTTCATCCCTGTTGTGTCCTGCAGCACTGGGGCGGAGGATTGCGGGGCAGGGTCCTGTTTCTGTTGGGGATGGGCCGGGATGCCGGAGTGGGATGAGCGGATGTCGTCTTTCTCTTTAACCAAGATCACCGGGGAACGCGAAATCAAGGGCCGGACTGGGTGTGTCGCGAAATAATGGACCTGAACCTGGAATTGCCGAGGATGCCTATCCCACACCGAAATCGAGCTAGCTCGTGGGTGTCATCGGTGATTTCTCGCCGTTGACCGAGAATGTTCAAGAGAATGACCGTGGAGGCAAGTGGGTGAGGTGGTTGGCGTAATCGTGAGTTGAACGATATGGTCGCCTCGGCGATAAGGAAGAGAGAGACAAGGCCAGCCCCTGTCGATGGGGGAGCCCAAGAGCCTTACCACAGGACAGCTCGGGGGCGACGAGAGACTTCCGTCATTGTATGGAGCTCTGGTGGGGAACATGTTGAGGGCGAACGTGGACTGCACAAGCCGCCGCCACTGTTGATTATTCCCTTCTTTTGCTGGTTCTGTCTTCCGAGCCTTTCTGCTGCTCCGGCATGTAAGTTTCTGCGCATGATCCAGCGGGGACATAGGTAATGACAGTGTGTAAATAGGTAGTTGAAGACATGCCCATCAGCCCATGGGGATGAAACATAGATGACAGCCAATTCAGAAGTTGTGACTAGCGAATCGCCTTAATCAGATCTCTGTGTTCACGGCTTCTTTGTTTTCGTACGCTCTGGTCCGAGAACTGGCCGTTGCCTGTAGTCGCCTGAAAGGCGGTAAAGAGCTGTTGATGAGATAGATGTGCTAATCAGCAGTGTGATGGGCGGCTGCAGGTACAAAGGTACAGCGGGGAGTACGGTGAGACAGAACATAGAGGGAACGTGAAAGTCCAAGGACCAAAGTCTTACGGCGCTCGACGAGGCTCGAAACGTCTTTCGATTGCGTTGTAACTCGCCTGGGAGCCGAGCGCCGATAGTGATGTACAAGACTTTGCCACCGTCATGGGGATCTGAGGATAGTACTTCGTACGGTAGCAGAATCAGAAGCGATCCTCAGTCTGGGTATGATGATCGAGACGATATGGTAGATGCGAAGTGTGTACTCCGTACATGCCTGGTGCGTTTTCTGAGAGAATGGCAGGTCTTCATTTCAGCCCTGGAGACACACATTTGAGGATTGGAGTCGTGGGATCTGGAGGTAGAGTGTGGAGCTGACTTCCGAATGGGGAATGGTCAATACCAGCCGCCCTTCCGCCCCAGCGGCGGGCCACATGGCAGGGGCTACTCCCTGCTTCCGCCAATGAACGGGCCGCCATAGTGAAAAGCGTTGGGGAAGTTGTTGGGAGCCGGGACATTTTTTTCGGACCACATCTCGTTCGTGCTTGCCAGCCCAGTGATCCATTGCAGATTGACAACCTCATGGCGAATAAACCCCAGAGCGTGCGGGACAGGCAGGGTGTCGTAAAAAGCCAACGGAAAGTGTGACCTGATCTGGGGCCCTTCATCGTCCTATCCTCGGCTGTGCGGAGTGTTCCTATGCGTTGGCGGGCTCCGAATTTGCTTCTGATTATCATCTGTCGGGCTGTTCATGACATGTTCTTTTCCTATTCGCGTTGATATTGATGACATTGAATCGGTTTTTGTTGGTCCAGTTTCCGTGTTGAAGAGTTCCTCTACGGGATCTGGATAGGAGTTGGGACTCTTTCCAAGCTTCAAATTCTCAGTCCCAACGAAGAGAGGTACGTACGTCTTTTGATGGATGACGATGTTCTACAAGTGGGCGTGAGGTTAGGATGTATGTTGTTGGATGCTCGAAAGTCAGGCCAGAGGCGGACGGACGGAAGACTTGCATGAATTGAAGTATCCAAGTCTCAAGGTCTCTCAATCACAAGGTATTCGTAACGCACACTGATCATTCATCACTTACGACTTGCAGAGGTAGTGTAACTGGGTGGTTCGTATGCTGATTTGGATCATTGGGTGTAGCTGCTACCCAAAGTCAGGGAAACTACCTGCTTATGCATAGCTGTTTTCTGTGATTGATGTAAGGCAAGGAGAAGGTCACTTCCTGTTCTGGTCGGTTTGCAACGCACACTCATTGGGGCATCTGCAAGGGGGACATGGACTTGCCCAATCCCCAGGTTGCAAGCGAGGTACGGAGTACCTTTCACACCTTCCGGCTTGTGGCAGGAAGGAGACATTGGAGGAAAGTACATTTCTCTTCAGGCGGTTCTTACCCTGCCTGCCAACCTGTTTTTCTTACCTCGTCGAGAAGCGCAGCATGGTACGGAGTACTCCTCCGTCCATACCTTAGCTATCTTCTCCGTAAGGTCGCCTGCAGCGAATGGAAGGAATGGAAAGTACTGATGAGAACCCTTGGTGTTCCCGCCATTTGATACACGCGTCGTCCGGTACCTCTCGGGAAGGAGGCAGGACAACGAATCCTGAGTGCGGGTCTCGCGAGGAAGCTTCTTCTTCCCCCTTCCCATCTGCCCATTTTCCGCCTGCAAATCCCGGGCCCAGATCGAGAGGGTCCCGCCCTTTCCTCCCATACAGCGGCGTATGGCGTGCCAGCAAAGACAAGACCAAAAAAAAAGTCAAGTCAAGTCTAACCCCACGGCCCACGAAAACCATCTACCTTTGCATTTTTTCGGCTGATTGTGACTTGACCTGGGTCTAAACTAACTGATCTGATTCACTGACCCCCCCTCCCCACCACCATCCCACCCTTTCCACTCTCTCGTTTGCTGGGATTTTGAACCTGGTGGGTGGCGGACACCTCGCCCAAAGGTACCCCGGCCTCCGTACCTGTTCCCTCCTTACTGGGGCCCTTTTCAACCTATCCTTTTCCCTTTATATAATTCATTGCTCTTCACCCACCCCTTCCACTTTGTAACTTCCCCTTCAGACCTCTTCTTCCTTCGAGAGTCCCTTGCCCATTTGGCCTTTTGATCAGCAAGTCTGGTTGTGAACGTTGCTTCTACACCAAGCATCGTTTGGAGTTGTCTACCAATAGACACTTCGGATTACTCGCTTTTCGACTACCACCCCCGATTCTCAGATTTGCAGCCTGTTGGCTTCGTTCTTCAACATGTCGGCGACGACTTCATCTTCCGACGCCAAGGTCACCAAGGCCGAGAACTTCCCCGATGGAACCTCCGACTACGTTCCCACCCGTGCCCGGGCCTACGATATCAAGAAGCCTCACATGTACGTTTGGCTCGTCCCCAGCATGACAGTCTTTCATGGCAACTAACATAATAATAGCTCAACTCAGCCTATCACTGCGAGCAACTGGTACAAGCACGTCAACTGGCTGAACACGACCTTCATTCTGATTGTCCCTTTGATTGGATTCGTCTGCTCCTACTGGATTCCCCTTACATGGAAGACCGCCGTCTTCGCGGTTGTCTACTACTTCAACACCGGTCTCGGTATTACCGCTGGCTACCATCGTCTTTGGGCTCATCGTTCCTACAAGGCCAGCCTTCCCCTCAGAATCTACCTCGCCGCCGTCGGCGCCGGTGCCGTTGAGGGTTCCATCCGATGGTGGTCTCACGGACACCGTGCTCACCACCGATACACCGACACCGACAAGGACCCGTACTCCGTTCGCAAGGGCCTCCTGTACAGCCACATTGGCTGGATGGTTATGAAGCAGGACCCCAAGCGTATGGGCCGTACCGATATCTCCGATCTCAACGAGGACCCCGTCGTCATGTGGCAGCACGTCCACTTCATCAAGTGCGTCCTCGCCATGGGTGTCATCTTTCCCACGGTCTTCTGCGGCCTCGGCTGGGGTGACTGGCTCGGCGGTTACGTCTACGGTGGCATTCTTCGCATTTTCGTCGTTCAGCAGGCTACTTTCTGCGTCAATTCTTTGGCCCACTGGCTCGGTGACCAGCCCTTCGACGACCGAAACTCACCTCGTGATCACGTCATCACTGCCTTTGTCACCCTCGGTGAGGGATACCACAACTTCCACCACGAATTCCCCTCCGACTACCGCAACGCCATTCAGTGGTGGCAGTACGACCCCACTAAGTGGTGCATCTGGACCTGGAAGCAGCTTGGCCTCGCCACTGACCTCAAGCAATTCCGCCAAAACGAGATTGAGAAGGGCCGCGTCCAACAGCTGCAGAAGAAGCTTGACCAGAAGCGCGCGAAGCTCGACTGGGGTGTTCCTTTGGAGCAGTTGCCCGTCATCGACTGGGACGATTTCAAGGCGCAGGCAAAGAACGGCAGAGGTCTTGTTGCCATCGCTGGTGTTATCCACGACGTGACCGACTTCATCCAGGAGCACCCCGGTGGCAAAGCCCTCATCTCTTCCGCCCTCGGCAAGGATGCCACTGCCATCTTCAACGGGGGTGTCTACCTCCACTCAAACGCCGCCCACAACCTGCTCTCTACCATGCGTGTTGGTGTCCTTCGTGGCGGTTGCGAGGTTGAGATTTGGAAGCGTGCCCAGTACGAGAACAAGGACATGACTACCGTCACTGACTCGAGTGGCGAGCGCATTGTTCGTGCGGGAGATCAGCTCACTCGTGTGGCTGTCCCCGTTGCCAGCGCTGATGCTGCATGAAAGAGATGACGGATGGGACAGTTTAATGACTTTGGGAGGCTTGTTTGAACAAACAAATCGAGGCGGAGTGTGGGAGCGCTTGACTTGCACTTCAACAGATTGGTGGAAACGGGCTGGCCCTATGGGGTTGCTCCGGTGAAACCATCGTCATCACGGTATATCTAAGCCGTTTAAGTTGACACGCCTTTGACACTTCAGCTTCGACTGATGGTGAGAGCAATTGCCAACCTCACACTTATGGGACATTTTTAGGCGTTTGCGGGGTTAGGCATTGCAGAGGGCGTTTACTAGAACAGTTACGAGAAACTGTTAGACTAGAAAAACGGAAAGCTCATCGAAAGGGCGAGAATGACAATAACAACCTTCACTTCAAGCAACCTTGTACATGCCACCACTTGTGATTATAATTAGACGTATGAGACTTGGTTCTGATCAGCAACTTCGATATGCTACCGCCTGACTGCTTGAAACTCGTCCATGAGGAACTCGAAGACTCTCGACTATGACGCCGCCACTATTGCTAAAGGCTCAACTCTACTCACGGGTCCTCTCCCCACCTTTGAAGGGACTCCTCGTCAGTATTGTCGGTGTCTACACTAGTTGATACTAGATAACGTCCCACGCTCTATACAACAGAGCCGCAATCACATGCTTTCCCACCTTCATTGCCTTGCCCGTACCTTTCCAATATGTACCGAGCCGTCTGACGAGAGATGCCCCACACAGCCTAGCGCTTGGAGGATAAGGTAGTACGAAGTACGGAGAGAGGAGGCAGTCAACAACAGTTTTTTCCCAGCCCCAGGTTGGGGCGGAGACCCGGACGAACGGGGCGCGGCACGCCGCGGGACGGCGCTCTCTCTCTCTCTCTTAATGCCCAATGCCAGCAATGCTTACCACTGTGCCTCACCCCGGGGCGACTAGTTGAAAACCGCAAAGTGACACCCAGTACTACAACCTTACTTCCCCCCCCCCCCCCCCCCCTCTCAACAAAAATTCCTTGAGTTCGGGATTCGACTGAACCACCCACGGGAAAATCAAACTACTTACAGAGTACATGAACTGAACTCCACAAAATAGAGAATCATCATTCATGCGGGTCATTTCGTTACCCGGCGTAGCAAGCCTCAGGGCGTGCCCACCCCAAGACCCAGGTCAGATTACCTTACGCGCCTACCAACAAGATGATGAACAGGCGAAAACAGGCGAGACAAACACATGATGTTTACAATTCAACTTGCCGTAGCTTGGATGTTTACCTCGGGTGCAGGGCGGGGGGGCTATTCAACACTGACATGCTCAGAAACAGGGATGGCCCTACGATACGCCGCCTCCTTCTCATGGCCCCCCTTCTATATACATCCGCGCCACGTTGTAATATCCCCCCCCCCCATCGCCGCCATCTTTGCCGCGTTGACGCCCATGTTAAGACTGACATGGCTTCTCAACAGCTACGTTGGGGTTCAACATGGAATTAGAATGCTACGCCTAGGGTCCTCGGGCAAATGACATGTGAAAGCACCTTAGGTCCACGAGGCATCATGAACTCCCATGCTGTAGAGTCTCTGTTGCAAAATTTGTACCATTCATTTATCTTCGACTATTCGAAGGACGTTCGTTGCCTTCCGCAAGAGCAAACATGCCTACGTAGGTCTAATGCAATTCTAGTGACACACAACATTGACATAACCATGACCAAACCATGGGAAGAAACGATTCGAAGTTTGCCTTCCAACTCCTCCCTCTCAACGACCTTGTTCCCGTTGCCCTCACCATCGAGTCAGAAAGACCTTGAAGCAGTGGTATCGATCGCATTGCCACGCCGTTAAGTGCGCGAAAGTTGAGATTGCCTCCCTCCCCGTCCTGACACCGAAACTGCAGCCACCGAATAAGATTGTCGTGAGCTCATTCGTAGGCAGCCGTAGAAAAAGAAAGAAGAAAGAAAACCGTTGAAGCCTTGGCCTCGCCCCACTCCATTGCTGGATTCCTGCTTCCCTATACTCCCAAACGCCACGAAAATATGCTTGCACAAGCCGAAAATTTCACACCGCCGATTCGATGGAGAATTACTTGAAGAGACTTCGCAGATCCAGAAGTCTCTGCCGGGCCGCTTCGCTCTTGTCGAAAACTCTCTCCTTCCGGTCCATGCTGAGGGTCGCCAACTTGTTCTTCTTCTCCTGCAGTTCGAGCATCTTCTCCTCGAAGCTGTTTCTCATAATGTAGCGAACTGTTCGAACCGGTCGCTTCTGGCCAAGACGGTGAACACGGTCAATGGCCTGAGCTTCGGCCGCGGGGTTATACTGAGGCTCCATCACATAGACGCTGCTACCTGCTGTCAGGTTCAGGCCAAGGCCACCAGCAGTGATCGATACTAGGATCACGTGAACAGAGTGGTCTTCCCGGAAACTATCCATCGCCTGAGTTCGAGCGATACGGGTCATGCTGCCATCCAGTCTGACGTACGTCACACCGACATTGTCAAGAGCCATTTGGATCAAGTCAAGGTGAGAGGTCCACGTGGAAAACACCACCGATTTGTACGGCGGCTCATCGGGGTTCGCATCGCTGTCAGCCTTTGACTTGAGCAGGTCCTCGACCAGTGCCCTCGTCTTCGTGTGCGGACCTGTATACTTTCCAAAGCTCTTGCGGCCGTTCGTCGCAGTCTTCTCCTTGGCAGGACCCTCGTGCTCCACCTTGAGTCGAGATCGACGAATGTCAACGTAGGCAGGCTTGATCACAGCGGAACAGATGGGGCAAGGTCCCATGGCCTGGCCGGGAGGGAGCAGTCGTCTAGCTTGTTCCTTAACACCCTTAATGCAGGAACCGCAGATGATGTGGAAGCAAGGCGTCATGTAACCAAGAATGTCTTCCTGTCCCTCAGACTCGATGCTAGCGTCGTCGTTGGATCCTAGTTTCTTCGAGCAGGCGCTGCAAGCATCCGAGTTCGTCTCCTGCATGAGCTCAAACATCTCGTATGCTTTCCGATCCGACAAGCCGGGCTTTTTGTCCTCATCTTCGCTATCAAGGTCAATAGCCATGTCAGCTGTCATGCCCTGCAAAGCCTCTAAATCTTCCTGATTCAAGAGATCCTTGCCGTGTGCACAGAGGAGTCGAAGTCGGAGAATGGATCGAAGAATGTGGATGTAGGTGTGACCGCCCAACGCTTTCTGTACGCCGTTGCCAGCAAGCACCTTGACGCGATCTTGAGCGTTCTTCTCGAAGAGATTGTAAACCTCGCGCTCCTCGTCTGTGAAGTCGAGCTTGACAATGTGGTCGCTTCGGGGCGGAAGGTTGATCTTGTCCTTCAACCGGCGGAGTGTGACACTGTCAACAAGCACGCGGAGTTTCGGAACAATCTCCGTGTCACAAGCCTTGAAGGGGTCCACGATGAAACGGTTGAACTTGTTGCGGTCGTCAAATGGCTTCAACCGGACAAACTGAAGGAGAGCGGCCAGGTCCTCGAGTCGGTTCTGCACGGGCGTGCCAGTCACAGCCCAGCGACGGGCGGCCTGAAGACGAACAATGGCCTTGAACTGCAGAGTCGCGACTTCGCGAATCATGTGTGCCTCATCCAGCACGATTCGGAACCAACCGATCTCCTCCAACGGATACTTGCCAGACTTCCGCTTGCTGCGAGCGCCTAGCTCACTAGAGACAGAGCCATACGTGGTGATGACCAAATCAAAGTCGGCCAACTTCTCGACATCTTTGATTCTATTCGAACCGTGATAGATATAGTAGCTGATCTCACCCGGCGCGATGTGCTGCTTGATCTGCTCTTCCCAGTTCGTGACCGTACTCAAGGGACACACGAGCAATGTAGCCCTGGCGTTCTTTGCGATGCCTGTCAGGGGCAGGGAGCTCGAAGCCGTTGCCTTGCCTCCAGCTTTCTGGGGTGGCATCTCGGGCTGGACTGGAGTGCGACCTGCCCATTCCTTGGCCTCATCCAACGAGCTGGCAATGAGGGAGAGGATACTGAGGGTCTTTCCCAAGCCCATCATATCGGCGAGCAAACCGCCGTGGGTGTCTGCGGGGAGAGTCCGCTCTTGGTGGCCGGTGATGACGTTGTAGTAGAACTTCTGTCCAGTGGGCCCGATTTTGAGTTGCCACATGGACCCCTTTACTCGTTCTTCGGCCGTCGATTCCTTTTCTCTCGCAGTCATGAAATAGAGGCCTTGTTTCTGATGCTTCAGTAACTCTGTGATGACGATAGGAGCTGGGTCCATTTCAGGAAGCTCATCGGTCTTGCCCATAGAGTCAAAGACGCCCATCACGTCTGATCTGATCTCTTCGACGGTGCGCGGGGTGGGGTTAGTGTAATAGGTAGACGAGGAGTGATTGTTGTACTGGGCGAGAGCTCCGGCCAGGTTTCTGGCACCAGGTGCTGGGTTAGGCTTGTTGTCGGTATGAACATTCTCATATCTGACGCCTTTGTCAACTCTATTGGGATGGCGCAGAATAATCTTGAATCTCTCAAAGTGCTTGCCCACGGCCTTGACGAATCTGTACTGGCCGTACAGTGTCATTTCCACGGGATAGGATCTCGATATCGCCTGGCCCGGCTGCTCATCCGCTTGCTTTCTACGCGCAGGAATCTTGCAATCGGTCCGGAGGCGCACGTTGGAGTCCAGCAGGGGAACGAGAGCATTGGCTGTATTGGCATCCACATTTCCAATGATATCGCGCGTGTAGTCGTATGCCTGGATCTTTTTGGTTGAATCCCCGATTATTCGCTTCAGAACGATCTTAACGGGTGGCATGAAGTCGGCTCCGAAGATGCTCTGCGTGCCCGGTTTGGCGGAAGGAACCTTGTGGCAGTCGAGGAAGCCGGTGAGCATGCCGTAACAGACCTCTTCGGTTGCGGGGTCCTCCACCATGACCAAATCGTCGCCCTCCTCAGTCAAGTCCACAGTCTGGGTAGACACCTTGGAATTCTCCTTCTTGCCTTCGTCTTGCTTTTCCTTCACATAGGCGCCAAGCATTCCGCTACCGGCAGGTCCCATCTTCTTCTTGTTGCTGTCGGCGTCAGACTCGGGGTCGGGGGTATCGAATTTTCGGCGCTTTGGCAGTGGCGCCGCAGCGCGATCCTGAACGTCGTTCATCCTCTCGATCATGTTGGCCATCCCGTATGGTGAAATGCCGCCGTCGTTCACGGGAGTTGAAGCGCCCGAGGTGAAGCTGGGTGTCAGAGACTCGCTCGTCGTGTCGTTGGGACTCGCGAATTGGAATACAACAGGGTTGTTGGTGGCGTTATGATTTCCCGGAGTAGATCGGTTCGCCAAGTGCTGAGGTTTGGGTGAATTGCGCCTCGAGGCAGCATTCGAAGCAGCGTAGGATCGAGGGTTCAGCAATGTTTGCGCATTCCACGACTGTGTTTGCGGCTGGGCGTTGATGTAATTTGCTCGGCCTTTTTGGAGGAAAGGTTGTAAGTATTTGGAGGTCCCATATTCATGGGCAGAAAGAGGCTGTGGTTTTGACAGAGGTTGACAGAGGGAAAGAGCAGTCGACCTAGGGCTTGGAGGGGTAGGAAGCCGATCCATGGCGGGGCTCACTCACCATTTGACCCGTTTGGTGATGCCATGGCTGCGTCTCAATACCAGCGTCTATTTGTTATTGTTCTTGTTGTTACTGCCGTGAAGGAGGTGCTGTAGCTTGCACACGGAGGGTGGGCTTCAGTAGAGCAGTCTGAGAGGGGTGGTTGCGATCATCACAAACGAGAGCGAGAGATGTGGAGTAGCTGTTTGATATGGGCGTGACAATGAAGAGTGGTATTGTAGATAAGTCGACCCCAAATCCAGGAAATATGTGAAAGAAGTGGCAGAAGCAGCCAGCAAGGCTTGGAATAACGAGTGTCGCTCAAGGGCATAGATTGAAGGCAGCGACGATGCAGATGGTGAGAGGAGAGGTGGTGGTGAGGAAGGCGCAAGGCTATATTGCGTCTGAGAAGTTGGTCCGGGGGGGTTGATGAGAGAGAGGGTGATATTAGAAGAGTCACTCCCGCAATGGTGAGCCGTCGAGTGAGTGAGTCGAGTCCACCTGAGGTGATATGAGGTGAGGGTACTTTGGGCAGGCTCAGCCAGGATCCAGAAACACACAAGAGACGTAGGCGGAGAAGGTGGATGACGCGAGAAGTCGGGGGAAAAAGGAGGCCAAAGGTCGAGTCAAGTCTGACGCCTATTCACAAGTGTCGTTTGTTCCATATCATTGTTCTTGCCTCCTCATCAGAAATTCGTGTGGCGGTTGAAGAAAGTTCTTTACAGGAGCGGCGGCGGCGCAAGGCGAAATGAAGAAAGCACTTCAGAACGAAGAGACCAATACAATAATACCCCGGGCGGTGGATGGAAGCGCAGGCTAAAGGAGAAAAATAGAAAAGGAACCCCAGGTCGCGGTGAAGGTGGTGGTAGACTGTAGTAGTAGTGGTGGTGGTCGTGGAGGTAGGTAGTGTTAGGAAAAAAAAAAAGTGAAGGTAGGCGCGGCACATGGAATGTGGTGCAGCCAGTTGGCTGCAGCCTTCTTGCAGCTGAGGTCACTCCCACTGCTCCCTGAGTTCCCTCCGCCTCTTGCAGCGGGGCACCTGCAGTGGAGACCCTCTGTTGATTCCCGATTTCCGATTAGCTACCTGGAAACTTCACATCCTCACGTGGCCACCCTTTACCATCTGTGCACCCCACTTTCTACCATCTCGGCCCAAGCCTCTCCCACTCCCCCCTCTATCTACCTACCTTACTCCGTACCTACCAGAGGTAACTAGGGAGGTACCTCCTCTCTCTCTTACACTCAGAGGCAGCCTGTGAAAGGGTGCATGGTCACTTGACCAAACAACTTTTTTTCTTTCTTGTCATTTGTATGTATCATGATGGATGTTCCTAATCAGGCATATCCTATTTACCAAGCCTGCCTTACCTGCCTTACCACAGTGTCACCCGAATCTACCGGGAAGAATACATTTTATTACACACTCCTTAGTATTCATCAACACCACCTAAACAGTCAGCGTCACCACCTCCCAATCCGAGACCCGGCTATTAGTCCTACTCAAACCTGAATGTTTGAATCTTTTGGTGGTAGTGCCTCGCGTGCGCCCCAAGATAACGCGCCTGGCCCATCTTTGACGTGGGGTCCCCTACTCGCGGGCTGTTTTCAAGTGCTGCCCACCCTCTTCAGTACAAGCCATTTTAGATCGCTCTCACCCCACTACCAGCCGGACAATGGGACATGATACTGGACTTCCACACCCATTCTCTCAATCTGCCCAACCGGGTCGGTTTTACCGTGGCCCTGGATGCCTCGATGGTTGTCTTGTGTTGATCTGAGTTGTCCAAGACATTTCCTTCGTGGCAAGGTCTCATCGGCGTGCTTATAAACTCCCAACGACCAAACGACTAGCGCCAGGATTCCCGAGAGTATTGCGTAGTAGTCCATAGCACACCGCAAAAATCCCATGTGAGCGGTTGCGTGATGGGCTTGTAAAGAGATGTTGCCTGCTTCTCTTATTTAGTCCATTTTGTTGGGCTTCCTTTCATAGTTCTCCCCCTGTTCGCATACTCCCATATCAGCTGACCATCAGACTCCAACGGATTGATCCACCTTCTTGTGTGCCTGCTCAACAAGCAAGAGCCGAGGCAGCTGATCCTTGGGCTGGAACATTTCCTTGGTTATGGTATGTGTTCGGCTCCGGCTCCGAGTCCTGTGTCGGCGGCGTCGGGGTGGGGCCTGCTGGCGGTCAGGCGACCTAGACCGAGAGGGGCTCTGGCTTCGTCGCCGCTCCAGCAGGACGACGCGGAGGAGACGCTTCCTCATGGGAGACACATCCGTGCTCGGCATGCCGACGGCGACGGCGGCGGCGGTGGCTCGTGAAGAGGCTCTCGACGATACCGGCGTCGGCGAGGTTGATCGCCGACGGGGTCGACCCCGGAGCGTGCTGGACTCGCCCGTGCCGCCGTAATGAGTGGCCTCTAGGTCACATCTCGTGAGGCTGCGGTGCCTCTTGCGGCCGCGGAGAGGATCTGATTCGGGAGGAAAGGGGCTCGACGTTACCGAGCGAAGTTTGGCAATTGTTTCTAGGTGGGAGGTCATGTTCATTACCGAAATATTGATCACAGGTGAGCTGATGGAGACTAGTGTAATCGTTTTTGATGTAGAAGTCACATATGGGAATGTAACCTGAGCTGCTGTGGAAGAAGAAACTGGGAGGGTGGAGCGGGTTGAAGACTTGATAAAGAACCCCCAATACTGCGGAAAGTAACTAAGCAAGAAGAGGAGAGCAAATCACGAGGTGATTGGAAGATGTGCGCCGGGCGTAGCAGAGGATTTTGACCTGATCGGGATCTCGCAACACACCGAGAGGCTTGACGTATGAAGATCATTCGGGTTAGACGGGTCGCTTCAATCGTCCAAACCCGCAAGCAAATAATGATAAGGATCTGTCAGTCTGCAAGGGGGGGAGCAGGCTTGATCAATCACCCAAAACTTACACGATGCGGGGATCAAGAAAGCAGTTGGGACTGGATTGGTCAGGTCGTACAATCCTACCTACGCAATGAAAACGGACCCTTGGCCCGGGACGATCAAGTAAGAAGGCCGCCCATCGAAAGGTCGGGTGATGAATCGAACCAATTCGCGGGGGAGGAGGAGGAGGCGGAGGAGGAAGAGAACCAGCGTGCCGTGTGGGTGGGGTCCATGGGCTGCAACCCGAGAGTTTGGGGGGAAGTCTGGGGTGACAGCCGTGACATTTTATTCGACTGAGGAACAGAACTACCAGTAGCTTGGCCACTTGGCTAGGAAAGGCCGATATGACTTTTGGGTGTGCAGTCGACGGCTTTTGTCCATCCTGCCCCGGCATGTCTGGTTGCCTGCAAAGCCGTTATTAGATCGAGGATGGGGATTTGAAGTGGTTGATCAGAATGCCATCCATGGCTGGCTGGTTCAATTTTAATACAGACTATTTAGTCTGCCAATCACGCCTGCTGGCTATTCTCTTTTCTTACACAAGTTCCAACGACGAGCATCATCCCTCGTAGGTTATTGTGTCAAGTCGGCATGAAGACGCCCAAAGTTGGCCGCCTGTGTCTCACTTTAGAATGGCACCGCCGCTCTCAGACTGTTGTCTCCCCAGTTCACTGGCTTTGGTCAACGTTTGGCAAGTGTCCGGCCTGGAATCAGCTGACCCGGACGGGACCAACTCGTATTTGCTGACAGCAGTTGCAAATGAGATTGTAAGGTACGGACGGGCAACTCTTCCTCCAATTCGCATGCAACGTCTGTAGGTCCTTGAAGCGTCTGAGCAGCTACCTTAGTCACTTCTGCCATGGAGCATCCCAATCAGAAGAGAGCACCTTAACGTTGCTTCCTGGCAGATTTGCCTTGAAGGTATTACCTAAACTTGGGTTGAGCCGGGTAAACACTGCACCCGTTCCGTGTACCCCAATCACCGGCCCAAGCACTAGCACGGGGAAGCTCGGAGGCAAGGGGCCGAATGCCCTGTGCTGAACCGCTACTTACCGCTATGGACGCGTAGAACTGACTACCTCGGTGCCTCTCAGGCGGTCTAGAACTCAAAGCAAGCAGTAAGGTAAGGTACCTTTGAGAAGGTACCAGGGTGACAGCAGCACCAGTTGCACCCCAATGACAGCATCGCGGTCCGCCGAAACCACGGGTTCCTAACGACACATGCTCGACGACGCGACTCGCCGAGAAATTGCTCTGTGTCTGCCACCATCACGAGCACCACTCCAGCCCTACCATTCTACTACCCTCTTTTGCTTTCATCGCCAACTTGCTGCCTGTTGTCTCCCTGACGCTACCTTTGTTTCTACAGTGCCATCTTTTTTTTTTCTTCTTCTCTTTTCTCCCTGCTGAGGGTTAGACTTCGTGGCTTCCTCCATTCTTAGGCCAAGATTCCGCATTCCCTTTGCTAGCACGATTATCGCACCCGAACGGAGATACAGCCGACCCAGCAGCATTCAAGCCCTCTCGATCGCGAGTCTCATCGAATCTTCTGCAAACCAACCCACATGGCTCTGACTTCCGGCTCTGCCTTTGCTCGATAATTACCTCGCCCTTTCCCTCGCCGAGACAGTCCCTTCATCCCTGCCTCCAAGTCCACGATGCCTCGATCTCGACCCCCGACGACGGGCTACGAGCGCCTCGCTCAAGCCGATGCCCTCTCCTCCGACTCCGAAGACGACGATCCTCTCACCCAGTCATATGCCTCCCTCCAGCCGGCCTCGGCCCCTCGCTTCGCACCCATCACGCAACCGCGGCCCCGTTCGGGCATGACAACCCCCAAACCTGTGATCGCCGGCCCTTCCAGACCTAAGAATCGCCGTCGCGGCGGCAGTAACTCTGGTGTCGACATAAAAGCCATCAACGCTCGACTAGAACGATGGGCCGATGAGATTGCCAGCCGGTTCAAGCGCACAAAGGGGCGCGGCAAGACTGGTGATGATGAACATCTCGAGATTCATCATTCAGTATTCCAAGCCCCCGAGGGTGTCCGACCCATTACCCCCGAAGGGCTGGCTGCGCCGCAAGATGTCATGTCCAAGTCGCAGTTCGAACAGATCGTGGGCAGCGTCAGGCAGGCCATCCTTCAAGGAACACATCCTCGAATGATCGCACAGGGAAGCTCCGGCAGTTACTTTGCCCGGAATACGGAGGGCAAGGTCGTGGGTGTTTTCAAGCCCAAGGACGAGGAGCCGTACGCGGCCGGCAACCCCAAGTGGAACAAATGGATCCATCGGAACCTGTTCCCTTGTTGCTTTGGGCGAGCATGGTATGATAGTGTACATTCCATTTAGGAGGTCCATGGCTAATCGCATCGCAGTCTGATTCCCAACCTTTCATATGTCAGCGAAGCGGCGGCATACACATTAGACTGCCAACTGCGCACCCACATGGTGCCTTACACCGACGTCGTCTGGTTATCCTCAAAATCCTTCCACTACCCGTTCTGGGACCGCCGCAGCTTCTACAGAAAGCAAAAACCGCTTCCAGAAAAACCCGGAAGCTTCCAGGTCTTCCTGAAAGGTTTCAAAGACGCCAATGTGTTCCTGAGAGAACACCCATGGCCAGACCAGTACTGGTCCGGCTTCAGGACGAACGATCCACACCGCAAGCGTAGGAGAAGGTGGGCAGACAACTGTCGACCAAGCAGTGCAGCAGCTTTAGATGACATTGAGAGTGACGATGAAGGTAGCCGGGAACGACTACCACCAGGTCCTGACAACTTCGTGTGGACCGAATCTTTGAAACAGTCGTTCCGCGAAGAGCTTGAAAAGCTGGTCATTCTGGACTACATGATGCGCAACACTGATCGTGGTCTGGACAACTGGATGATCAAGGTGGACTGGAGCACACAACAAGTGTCAATCGTGTCGGAGCCGCTTCAAATGAACACGGAAACCGGTTCATCAGAGAGCGGCCCTCGCCCGGTGGACTTGAACCAGCGGCCTACAGCAGAAAGCCGCTCGTCGTACCCCTACAGGACGCAACAACCAATGAAGGCATCTAGTCCCAATCCAAGCACACAAGATCCTAAGATAACGATTGGTGCTATCGACAACTCACTCTCCTGGCCCTGGAAACATCCCGACGCATGGCGAAGGTATGTGCCTCCCCCAGAAACTCCACGTGTCCTCTGCGATTTGCTTTGTGTAAACAGTAATGCGTGTGGAAAGGAATGCTAATCACTTATATCACACAGCTTCCCTTTTGGCTGGCTTTTTCTTCCCGTTGACCTGATTGGACGGCCGTTCTCGCAGAAGACGCGAGATCACTTCCTCCCCCTCCTGACCTCAACACACTGGTGGAGCCAGACACAACTGGCGTTACGGAAAGTATTCCAACTGGATCCCGACTTTCAGGAAAAGATGTTTGCTCGGCAGATCGCGGTCATGAAGGGCCAAGCATGGAACGTGGTAGAGACGCTCAAGACACCGGATCACGGTCCTCTAGAGCTCACACGGCGCGCCAAGGTCTGCGTTTGGGACGATCTCGTTGACGTGCCAGTTGCCGTGCCCATGCGGGTAACGTCCGCCGAGATGATGCGCGACGCAGAGCTCCGACGCTCCATTGACGAGGGCGACATTGGCCAGGCCAACACGTCTGCTGCACCTACCCACCGCGTGGACGAGGACCTGCTCGGCTTCGCTAGCCCCCCGGCCGACATGCCTCATCCGGGCAGGTTTGAGCTTGCCCTAAGCCCGACGGGCGAGGGAGCCCAGTCACCGGACGAGACGTCCATGAGCGGTTCGGGTATACTGGCGTCATCTGCACCGCTAGGCAGTAAGGACGCATCGATGCAGCGGCCCAGGTTCTCGGGACAATCGCACCGAGAGAGCTACCATGGCACGCGCGCCCTCAACATGTATTCTCCCGCTCGTCAGCAGTCTCAGCAGCAGCAGCAGCAGCAACGGCGATACTCTTTCGCGACTGCGGCCGGACGGCGTAATAGCGGCAGCATCGCGCAGCACCTGTATGGCTCGCGCCGGAGCATGGAAGATTATGATGAAGAAGACGACGTCGAGGAGGGAGACCTGGGCTATGCGGCCGCCGAGGGCATGGAGGGCAACCAACGCAAGGTTATTGTGGAGAGGCTGGAGCCGGTGAAAGCCAGGAACCCGGTTTTCACCTGCTGGTGATCCACTCCATCCACTCCCGGGGGGAGGGGGGGCTGCATCGAGCAAAACGTTACGGGGGGGGGGCGGCGGCGGCGGCGGCGGCACGGAGTTGGAGAGGTGTTGGAGCTGGGTTATCGGTTGGTGGGGTCGCTTTCTGCCTCTCTCTCTCTCTCTTGCTCCGCCTGCCGTTGTCCCATGCAAGGGAAGGTGTCCCGGGGTGGAGAGGAGGGGGAGGAGGAGTCGAGGAAGCGGCGTTTTCCCCCCTCTTCTTACTCCTTCTTTTATTTGTTTTATTCCCACTTGCTTGCTTTGGGGCAGTTATTACATTAACCACCGAGGACGAAATAGGGGAGTAGCCGGGGAGGGGAGTTTGTTGGGTTCATTTTCGGATCGTGTGTCTAGAATAGTTGACGAACCCCCTCCTACTCCTCCTTCCTCCCATCCCAACCCATCCTCCTGCGCGTCAGCACAGAAGAAGAAGAGAGGAGAAATCATGATACACATGGCATTCGGTGGCGTTTCTCGTGCATTCATCCCTTGACTTGGCGTGGCTGGGCCGTATGACGGTATGAGAGAAAGAGAGAGTGAGAGAGAGAGAGAGAGACAACGAGTTTGGGAACGAGACACGAAACGAAAGGCGTACAACAGCACAAGACATGATGAGGGAGGACACACACACACACACACACGATGACAACACGACACAATCATCACACAACACGCGAGGGAGAAGAGGAGACGTGGGTCCAACAGGCCGCAGAGTCAGACCCATGGAACAGCAAAGGGGAGAACAGGACTCTAGGGGAGCACACATCGTGAGAAAGAACAAGGCTTGAAGGGGGGATAGGCGACAGATGTGAGAAGAAGACGAAGGAAGAAGGAAAAGCAAAGAAAAGGGGAGGCTAGCTATGGGCCGTGAATTGAGAGGGGAGCGAGACAGAGAGAGAGAGAGAAGGGGTGGGCAGCATAACCGCAGCAGTTGTATCCGTACCTACATGGCTATTACCTTACTGTTGCATTTGATGGTCCTTTTTTTTCCTTTTTGCGGGAGGTTGGAAAGAGGGTAAGGGGAAAAAATAGGGCGCATGCAAATGACCTTTTTCGGCAACTAGAAAAAAAAAGGTCCCTTTTTTTCTTGGGTGTAATCAGGCAAGGATTTCCAACTTGGCCTTGTCACCTTAGACCTACCTATCGGTACCGTTTTCGCGCGCCCATCCGGTTCAGGGGATGGGAAGAGGGAGGGGGCTTATGCGCCAACCGGCGTGTTCTCGTAATTCCAAACATGGTACCAAAAGAAGAAGGGGAAAAGAAGCAAAAATACAGAGAGGACTTACCCATAGAAAGAGCCCAAGTGTTAATAGCACGGCCAGAGGCTGCGAGACACCTTGTAATGACACAATCTTGCAGGACGAGGACGAAAAGAGACAATGCAAGATGCCACTAGAATAGGAAGTGACTACTCAAGTTGCACAACAGCAGGCCTGGTTGACTGTTGGGACGATGGCGGTCCACTCTCGACGAGTTGCGAGTTGCGCCACGGGCTGTCTTTCCTGTAGAGGTTGACCAAGGCCATTTGAGGCTTGCTAAAGGTAGGTATTCGAATCCTCTCGAGGTTGTCATCCATCGGTCATCAGTTGTGGTCCAAAGTCACGTTTCACGGAGAAAGGAGATGGCGGTAGCGGCGCGGCCGCTTCCCTTGGTCGTTGCTGGCCTGGAGGGCCGTACATATGTGTGTGTGTGTGTGTGTGTGTGTGTGAGTGCCAGGGTACCGCCCAGCCCGTGATCTGTGCGCGCAAGAATAATATTATAGGAGGGGTGGGCGTCGGTATTACATCCAAATTCCGCATCGTCGGTAGATGGCAGAAGAGATGAAAGAGGAAAAGTCGATTCATGTGCCCATGACCGCAGTAAAGCCGCAGTCGCAGCCGCAGCCGCAGCCGCACCTTTCATCTCCTCCCCTACGAAAACCTGGTAAAGAGAACGCAGGAGGTAGGACTCGCCGGCTCATAGGACCGGCACCGCGCGCTCCATGCCTTTTCAGAAAGTCAGCTCGCAACACCATGGTCTTCTAGAAGCATTATGCCCCCCCGTCCTAATGAAACGACAGAGACCTGGTCCTTGGATTTGTTCTCCGTAGAACCGGGGGCCATTGGTGGACGATTGGATCGTAGATGGCAGGTAACGCCGCTCGTCATCCAGGATTCAGTAATAGGGGGGAAGCTCAGCTGGGTATCTTTGTATCGCAGTGTCATGGTATTAGTCCGTAAGCTGTGCACCTCTGGTCCCGTCAGCAAGACGGGGGTCGTAGGGGGCCGGTTGGCATCGATAAGGGGGACGATTATGCCCCAGCATCCCGTCCTATTGGAACCCGAGAGTACGGTTCTGTTCAAGAGGAAAATGAAGACGGAGGAACCAGCAGGGTGCTTGCCGACTAGGGTTCCCTGCTGGCGGGAATGAATGTGACTCCTCATCGACAGCCAACTCATCTCCCCCCTCTTTGCATGGGAAGAAGACAAGCCGTTGGACGAGAGAAGGAGAAGCAGACCACCGGCCCAATTTCTCTCATATCGGGTAAAGCGAGTTGTGGAATACTGTTGTACGTACCAAGGTACGGATACGCAGATGCATGGTCCGCAGCCGTGCAGACGAGAGGCCACAGTCAACGGCCGCCAAGTCACGCTGCTTTCCATTTCCTCTCCAGACTCTTGCTTGTCCTCATCAGACTCGTCCAAGTTGAGTGGCTGGGAAGGATTATTACACACAGGAGCAACCTATAGAGAGATGGGTCGAATGCTCCCCTCTGACGTGCATCATCTCTGACAGGCTAATCTCTTGCCTGAATCCCCGATGCGAAGGAGTGGCATGCGTCAGTCGATGAACAACAGCCACCTCTACTTGGGTAGCTGCTCGGTAACCGCATGCGCAAAGAAACCATTTCGTTCGAGTTGCCGAGTTATGGATTGCAGCCCTGCTCCGAACTCCATTCCGTGATCACTTGCTGGGTAGGGCGGTGGCTACCCAGCAAGCCGTAGGCGTCAATTTGCCAATTGCTTGTCGTGCAGCATCCCGGCCGTCACGATATATTGGGAGTCGCCTTATAGCCGGTCTTGCTTGTTGCAATGACATCGTCTCCCACATTCGGGATCGCCTCCGGACCATCCGCACAGCATACTCGGCAACGCCATATTCCCAATCTGCAGCCTTTCGTACGGCCGCGGCCAAAGAGCTCAGGTAGGTCTATATCGAGGCCGGACACGTCTGTCGTACCGCTCGTCTTGACGTCAATGATGAAGGGTCAGGACCGCGTTGGGATGGTGAGTTGCCTGGTGCCCAGCAAAACCACAGTATGTCGTCGTCTCAAAAAGTCTCTCTCTCTTTGCTTTTTTACCCGTCCGCCATGCAATGCACTGAACCCGTTGGTGCAAGGGTTGCAGAGTGCAGCGAGTACGTGGCCGCTGTGGACAGGCATGGTGCTCCCAAGCACCAGGATGTGGTTTCCTCCGACAAGGAAGGGTTGTCGACCCTCGCTCCTCGGTTCCCAAATAGCTGGAACCAGGAGAGTTTTGTGGCTCGCGTCATCGCGCCCTCTCCCGAAACTCCACTGTCCGAGCCAGCGGCAACCTGGTCAGCCAGGCCAGGCTCTTCTCTGTGTTAGTTTCAAACCTGCAGAGCGGCCCGCCGAGGGGTTCGTTCGTTGAATTGGCCCAGCCAATTTCTTCTTCCAACCTTCATCAAAACCATCCCCGCTCAAGAAACATTGTTGGCTTGTCCTCCGGGAGCTCTACTTCCAAAAGTGCGACTCGCCTGCCAAACAATTAGTCCAGGGTCAGAAGGGATGAGATGCTTGAGAAAAGTGACCCAGAAAGGGAGTGCCATAATTAAACCTTCATCAGCACGTACCCGAATACGCCAATGTGTCAAGAAGCGCAGCAACACAACCCACCAGCCAAAAGTCATGCCCCTACCTATATTTTGCAGACCGTTGCCTGTCCCGTGCATATTGTACCGCCATCCGACCGAATTATTACCATCATGGTCTCGGAGAGGTGGTGTGGTGGAGGCCTGAGGTCGCAGGAGCCAGGCATGCGTGCTGAGCAGAGTAAAGATCGATGTTTCTGTCCGAGGCGCCCGTCTCCTCCCTTTGGCCGTTGTCGTGAGGTACGGGCCTGGCGCGGGTCTCACTTTTGCTGGCATCAGTGCAGATGATTGTCTGCTTTGTGTGTGAGGATCAGACCATGAACTCCGCCTTTGGTCGCTGCCCGGCTGCATATGATCCTAGCCTGCTTAATGCCAGACAGGTAAAGAAGCATGACTGTATTTTCCGTCTTCTTATCGTACGAGATGATTTGGCTCGGACGAGGTAGCAATCGCTTCGCAACTGCGTGCTCGTGGCCTTCCTTCTTCTATTCGTTTTCGGGCCGTACAAGTCGCCAATGAGCCTAATGACACAGAAGGATCCAAGTCCGTGTTCTCGGGAAATATCAGCAAGTGGAAATCACGGAGTTATCGCGAGAGACAGCAGAAGTGGCGCCAACGTGATCCCTAGTTCGACTCTGTATCCTATCGGGAGTTGTGCAACGCTGCTTTAGCTCGACTTCCCACCACCTGTAGCTGCTGTGTCTTCAAGTTCAAGCCAACGACCGGTTCCTTGGGACATGGGAACCGCCGGAATTTGATTATAGCTCCGCGTGCGATGGGAGCGGATCGGCCATGTAACCCCTCCTTTGAGCAATGCTCCTTTTCAACGCGAGGTAGGGGGAGGGGGTGATCAGGAAACAAGGGATGGAGAGCCGTGTTTGCTGAAGAGCTTCCCATTGCCTGGGCACTGGCGGGAGGGTTACAGCAGGAATTCGTATGTTGGGCCCAGTACTCGGGCCATGCAGTTGGTCTCAAGACAACATCCACCACTAGGCTTTGTCGTGGGTGTGGGTGCTCTGATTGTAGCAGCAAGCACCGGTATATTCGCCCGACTCTGGGGTGGCGGCGGTGAGCCGCTCAAAGAAGCTCAAAAAGCTCATTGTCCTGGGTAAACAGAGAAGCCACATCCGACCCTTTCGCAGCCTTGTGGGATGTTGGTCTGTGATGGTGCGTCCCGCTAGACAACAACCAGGCCGTTCAGGAAGACAACCGTCTACCTGGCTTCCGGAACAGCCTCTGAAGGGAAGCTACGGTTAACGGGATCCATGGATCTGGCGACTGGTAAAAGCGGTGTCCAAGTTGCTAGGATGGGCTGGGACCCGCTGCCACACTCGCCCTATGCCACTCACTGGCCTGGGATTAGCACGTCTTGGTTGTCTGCCGGCTCCATTCTCGAATTTTCGTGTGTACAGGGGGGTCCGGGGCCAGCAATAACAGCAGAGGACATATCCATGTCACCCGAAGACTGCCTCGTCCGCACCGCACCGCGTACCAAAGAGTACCGAACAGGCTCCCAACTTTTCTAGTGTAGGTCGTGGTGTACTAACCCAAGATCGACAGCGACGTCGTGGGGTGTAGAAAACAATGGCCGGCCAATGTCGAGTACCCTTCGACTTGACCGTTGTCTCCACCTCCGACGTAGTAGGCAGTTAATTTTATGTCTATTAGACACGACTGCCGCCTTCGTGAATACCCCTGTGATCCGGATATGGCTCCTTTGACGGACTTTCGGGTTTCGTCTGTGGGCAGTGCTTGAGAACTAGTCCTTGTCTTCCGTCCCGTCCTGGAAACCTAGGAACAGTGCCTCGTTGGAGCAACGTAACCACCACATACAAGCTCTTGTTCATCCCAATATCGAATCCCAAGGCAGACTTTGGACGAAAGACACTCATCCTAATCGAACTTGTCCGTAAGAAGAATCATTCTATTGTGGTTGTCGACATGGCAAGGTATTGCAGGAACTCTTCTCCTCTCGCGCAGGATTCCTTTGATCGCTAAACCGCTGCCAGTGATCCACAGACAGTTCCCTTGGATAACGCCTTCCTGGAAACCATCACGTATCAAGGTAGAGAATACCAACGATACGCAGTTGACAGTGGAGCATACTTCGCGCCGATAGACGAGGTAGGAGACATGTCGCCCCTGAAGACACCTTGCCTTGCTGAGTGTCTTTTTTCAAACCGACTATAGGACGAAGTTGAACGCTTGCAAATGATGCATGTCGTACTCTCCATAGTATTCGAAAATCGCCTCCTTTTCCCACCCATCAACAGACCCCGGCGAATTCTTGAGTGCGGCTTCGGAGCCGGCGACTGGGCTATCGACGTTGCACAACAACACCAGAACTGCGAGGTATGTATTGGAAGTACCCAAGTCTTTTCCCTTTCGCGGCTGTACAATAATCGGCATCCATCCCTTTGACGCGTTTTGTCGGTGGTGCTGGGATGGCCGAGCCCGCAAGCCGGCTGCATCCATCGTCAACGCGTCATGCGGTCGTCTCCCTCTTCTGCCTCTGTTTACGTGTAGCATACTTCATGCTCTGTGGCCGAGCAGAAACTCCTTCTCTTTGCTGCATCGATACCATGATGATGAGTGGATGGAATGAACTCGTCGCCTCGCTGTTCCGGTTGCCGTTCCGGTTGCCGTAGCGTTAGCAGTGCTGATTTTGTCCGATAGGTAGTAGCCATCGATATCTGCCCGCACATCTGGCCCGACGAAAGCCAGACGCCAACGAACCTGAATCTGCAAGTCGATGACCTGAACAGCAGGTACGTTCCCTGGCGAGTTTCGGCCGGAGACTGAAGTTCCCCTGGCCCAACTGACTCGGCCTAGATTTACCTTTCCATCGAACCACTTCGACCTTGTACATAGCCAGATGATGGTAGGCGGTATCCACTCAAATCGATGGCGAGATTATCTTCGAGACATTCATCGCGTACTTCGACCAGGCGGCTGGTGTCAAATGGTGGAGATATACTTCAATGCGCAGTCAGACAACGGAACGTTGACTCAAAGTAGGTCGGATCTCCCCAAGGCGCTGAACCCCTCCACTGATCGCCTGCTTCGTCAGATCACGCCCTTCGTAGGTGGTCGAGACGATACTTGGATAGCATGCAACCATACAAGGATCCCAGGGCGCCAATGCAGATGCAAAGTTGGATGCAAAGCGCTGGATTCGACTCGGTGGAAACCCAAATGATCCCTCTCCCGACTTGCGGCTGGTCGAATGGTATTCAAACCTTGAAACCGGAATGCAGACATTTTAACCTGATTTTTTACTAGACCCGAGGCAGCACCAAATCGGCGTGGCTAATAGAGAAAATGTGAGGAGGATGCTTTCATCTCTGGCGATGTATCCCATGACAGAGTTTCGAGGGTAAGGGGACTTTCGTTTCCCGTTCTTTGCAGTCTGCAACGCCAAGTCCGGATCAATTTCAACTGACTGTGGCACTGTAGGATGACATCCCAAGAGTTCCAAGTCTTGGTGGCTCAAGCAAGGAGCGAGGCCGATAACCCGGCGTTCAGGGTGAGCTCCCATTCATCCACAAAGTGCGTCTTCTCTGTGGAAATGTCTGCTAACGTCAAGGTTCGGCTCAGGCGTATTTTCCAATGTAAGTGGCTGCCCACTCATCCAGCCGCCCAAGCCCTTAGTAATACTGACGTTTCTGGGCATCAAGGTACGTTTGTATAGGACGAAAGCCTCGTCGTTGAGACGAGCAGAGAAGGCCATATAACGATGTTGCTTTCCAGAGCGATTGATGTGTGGCGGCGTAGAGCGTTGTTTCCCAGCGAGGATTTTGATGGGCATTTTGGACAAGGATTACGATAATGACCATGTGACGGCAGCAAATACCCCGTGTCTAGCTCGCAATCCTATTTGATCAAATCTCTGTTATAGTGTTTATTTTTTGTATTCTTCTTTGGCGGTGGTTGTCAAGGATTGTATGATGGAATTGTGAGAGTACAGATGAAATTGCCTTGTCTATACGCATGCCGTTGTTGGATCTCGAAAGGCACTCGTCGATAATGTGGGATCAGACAAGTGGTGTACGAAGCGAAACGCAAGGCTTTTGTTGCATCGGAAAGGGCGTGGACTCGACTCGTTCCCTGGCTGGTCATCGTGATCGAAGAGGGCTGAAACTGAGAAGGAGGAACCAATTGTCGATGACCAGAAGACAACACAAATGAGGCGGGGAGAACGAAGATAAGTGATGTGGATCAGCGAGGATGTAGTTCCTTTTGTCTCGGGATGAACGGCACTTCATACAAGTCAGACGTGGAAGAGTATTTGCCTTGAGCAGACAAGGTCTGGGTGTTGAAAGCAAAAGGGATGGACTTGTAGTTGAAAGAGGGTGAGGCGCATGTGGAGAGCGGCGGAAGCTAAGGCAAGTGCCTTATTGGTGGTGGCGGGAAAGAAGAGATGGGAAAGACGATGGCGGCTGCCCATGTCCATGTTTAGGAAGGTACCTACTTACTTTACGAGGTCGGCAAGGTGAGTAGGTACTGTACAATGTATACCTGGCGGGCGTGAACATATAGTCAGGTAAGGCCAGGATGGTGGTGATGAACCCCCCCCGCGTTGATGGATTCGGAATGGGACGTCTTGGAGGTGGAAGAAGTGAACGGGAACTTGGAAGGCTCAAGGAGGGAGGGCAAGGAGTGTGTCAGTACGAGTCCTTGTTCGACGGAGTACTTCCCTACTTTATTGTCCGCTGCTGCTGTTTTATTTGTTCCATGTTGGGTTAGATTGGAGGGAGGCAAGACGCCAGGCCTTGCCCAGGAACGCAAGAGGTCTGCAATCTGCATGGTTTTTTACTCGCTACCGTCTCCTCGGGTTCTCGGTGAGGACCGAGGTGGACTGCAGATGAACAACTCACGTCACATTGAGCCTGCACAATCTCTCTCTCTCTCTCTCTCACACAACACACCTACGGAGTACACGCAAGTTACAACGCCACTACGGATACCAATACAGCTGGGCACATCGAACCCATGTCACAATGGAAGGGAATGGACTGTCGAGTCGCGTCTTGACTCTTGCGTTCTTGACAAAGAGGGAATCCGAATCCACTTTCATCTGAAGATAGATAATTTTCCTGGCGCCATGCCACATTTGCGGCCTCCGCACTTGCTGCCGCCCTCACAAGTTCCACGCCAGCGTCCACGCCGGCATCCACGCCAGTTCCCACGCCGGTGAGTGCCCAGAGCCCTTGTGCCATCTAGGTTCCCCGGCTTCGGAAACTTCCTCCCTAGCATCATCAGGGGGCACAGACATTTCGGCTGACGATTCCTTCTTGACCCAGAAGTTGCTGGGGCAGAGACTAAAGTATACTACTACGTATGCACCAAGCACGGAGTGCGGATACCGGTACTGCCCCTGGTATGCCACGATGCCAGGAACATTAACTGAAGCTGTCACGATGATGAAGCATGCAACGGTCAAACTTTCTATGCATGTTGATCAGATGGACGCACAACCCCCCCCCCTCCCCTTCCAGCTTGGCTGGCAGATTGACCACCCGGCCGAATCGACATTGGTGGCAGCTGCTGGAACTTGCGAACCTGGAGCCCCCGGTGGATGTGATATCGGGAAGCTTTTGCGGATGCCCCGACCCTTGTTTTCCTGCAGCTCCCCTGATCTTCGGCACATCAGGTGATTTGGGCCCCGGGAATTGCCTAGGCTTCACATTGCTTCACAAAACCTCCAACTGATCCGCGAGCTGTCACCAACACGGCCATCGACGGACCGCGTACCCCCTATTTATGCGTGTTCCAATGGATTGGAGCTTGGAAGTTGGAACACCCACAAGGTTTCCCTCAACGCATACATAAATGTGTGCGGCTGATTGTGTCATCCGAACCACCAGGCCTCCATGTGGCATGGGCCTGTCAATCTGGCATCTGGAATCTTCAGCCAATATGACACCCCTCAAAAGTGTAGAATGCGAGGGAACTACTGCCAATAGTGTGTCCAATATGTCAAACACTTTTATTCAACGGCCCCCCCACCAATGCATCCTCACGGACGCTACTCCCAGACACTGGTGCCACTTCGCGCCACCTGTAGAGGAGAGGGTCCGGGGGATGTTCCTGCTGCCGTGGACCTGGCCAGAACAGCCAACTGCTGCTGGCCAATGAGAAGCTGTGCCGAACATTTATGCATTGGAGAGCTCCCAGCAATGGAACTTTTTTTTCTGGACTGCAACTGAGAGGCGGACAAACTTGACGACGACATTGTCCCGCTACCCAACTACCTAGCTGTCTGAACGACCGACACAAAGACCGTCCAACTGAGAAACATCCACTCATCTCCCACGATCACCAAAGCCCAGGCACACGAAAGCCCTCCTCCCCTCTACTCACCATGGCTTCCCGAAACTCGGTCCGCCTCTTCCAAGCCCTCCGGCCAATGGTGCCGGGCCGGGCCACCCCCCTCCGGACGACGATCCGCCTCTACTCCGATGCCACGCCGGTCACACCCAAGCTCCTAGCCACCCTCAAGACCGACCTCAAGACCGCCATGCGCGCAAAGGACGCGCCCCGCCTCTCCGTCCTCCGCTCCGTCCTCTCCGCCACCAACAACGCCGCCAAGACAGACAGCCCCATCGCGACCGACGCCCAGCTCGTCGCCCTCCTCCGCAAGACCCAGCGCGCCACCCAGGACGCCGCCACCCAGTTCCGCGCCGCCGGCCGCGACGACCTCGCCGATAAGGAGGATACCCAGGCCAAGGTTATGGCCGAGTACATTGCCAGCAGCGGCGTCGTCACCGTCACCGAGGCCGACGTCCGCGTCCTCATCCAAAAGGCCGTTGAGGATTCCGTCGCCGCGGGCAAGACCGGCCTCGGCGAGGTCATGAAGCTCATCAACAAGGCTACCCAGGACAAGGACCTCGAGGTGGAGAAGAAGCGCGTGGCAGAGCTCGTCAAGGAAGCCATCAAGAAGGAGTAGAAGGGGGGAGAGAGAGAGGGTTTCCGAGCTGTGTTTGCTGTTAAAAACAAGAAACATGTACCAATCTGTACCAATAACGTCGTGTATAATACCTGTATACCCCCCCCAAAAACGAAATTCTGGCGGATGAAGAAGAATGGGCGAGCTGGGGAGAAGGGAAACATCTCTTCTCTTGAATGATACTTGGACGAATGAAATAATGTTACACTACTCGTGGCCACGGCGCAATATGTGAAAGTGAGCTTGGAAAACCAGCATTATGGGAGTCTGGATAATGTGTCAACATATAGATAGGCTTGGGTACTAAAAGGTGCAAAGCACCCAGTCAATGGCATTGGTATCTGTCTAGCAAAGTCCGGCCGCCTTTTCTCTGTCTCTCACACATACACCACTCACACAGGCTTTTTGCAAGTAGTTGTAACTGCTCGTCCTCGCTCTTCTTCTCATCTCCGTACCTTACGCCCCCAATAAAACGCCGTCAAAACGCCTGCGAAGCCATGCGCCATGCCATGAATCTCTGTATTTTGAAACATAAAGACGTCCTTCAGGAGGGGGGGTATACGTCGGGTTTACGCAACACTGTCGTCCTCGTTCCTCAACCCCGCATACTCAGTCCCCTGATTCGCCGTGCTCAATCTCGCGCAGAGACTCAACAGGACAACCGTCTCCGTCGCGGCGTAGTGGTTCAGCGCGTCGAGCAGGATCTGGAGGTGTCTGCTGAAATTGCCCTCCCACTTCTTCATGATCTCAAAGAGGTTACTCACGCGGGCCTCTTGCTCGGCGGCACTCACACCACCGCCTGCCGAGGATGTCGAATCGTTGTGTGAGGTGCCCGCCCCTGGGCCTGACGAGGGCTTCTGCGTCCTGACGGCCTGGAAGGCGCGCCACTGGTCTGCCGTCATGTTGGGCGGGCGTGTGGTGCCCGATAAGTCTGGGTCGGCTTTTTCTAGCTCGCGGGAGAGCCAGTTGGAGTAGGTGGCAAAGACTGTGCAGGTTTGCATAAGTTTGGAGTGGATCTGTCCGAGGTTTGTAAGTAAGCTTGAAGACTGATTCACGCACGCGCGAGATTAAACAACGGCCAGTAAGACAGAGAGAGAACATACCCTGAGAAGCTTGCTGTTGGTGAGCATGCACTCCTTCAAGCACGTATCCAAGAAATCCACATGGTCCTGCATCAACTCGTCCACCGTCCGCGTTGGCGTCGTGCCCCCGGCCGCCGCGGCCTCCTGGCCTTCCTCACCGACTTTCAACCGGGACATGAACTTTGCCCAGTTGGGCTCAATGACCTCAGCCGTGCAAAAGTATAGCAGCTGCTGCACAAAGACGAGCATGCGCGCGCGCAGCGTCCACACGCGGCGCTTCCAGATCTCGAGGCCGCGCGAGGAGCTCTTGTGCGACCACGTCAGGCCCGAAGTCTGCGAGTACCACGTAGTCGAGAGCTGGGACTCGAGATAGCGCAGCGACAAGAGGTACCGGAACAGCGCCTGGTACCGCCACACAGTCTTGCGGCTGATGACAAGAGAGACAGGGAAGGGGACGGTGTAGTCGAGCTGGAGGGACGTGAAGCCGATGGCGTTCTTGTCGTTCTCGATAGGCTGCTGGTTCGCGAGCGGCTGCAGCGTCTCGCCCTGCTCAATACCCGTGATGTTGACGACCCGCTGCAGGGATTTGACGAGCGTGATCTCGTTCATCTCCACCTTGACATCCTCCTTGAAAGGGTCCAGCGAGACGACGCTGCCCGGCTGGCGCAGCACCAGGTCGAGCAGGGACTGCAGCTTGCCGGTGTTGACGGACTTAACAGGCTTCCGCAGCTCGGATGTGCCAAGCTCGAGGAAGTAGGAAAAGTAGTCGGACGGGTCCAGGAAGAAGTAGTGCTTCAGCGACCGCAGTCTCATGGGCAGCGAGTGCGTCGTGAGCAGCAGCTGCATAAGGGACTCGTTGGCGTGCGCGTACGCATTGTTGACGTTCTCCAGGAAGCGGCTGTCGTCAAACGACGTGGGGACGTCCTGGACGACCTTGCTCACGTCTACGCCACCACATTCCCTGACGACATTGAGGTACTTGCCCGCCAATAAGACCTTGTCCTTGACACCTTCCAATTGAGGGGGGATATCGTGCTCCCGGATCGTATACCGTCGCTCCCAGTATTCGTCCGTGTAGTCCTGCTCCAGCCGTTCTCTCCGAATGCTCTTTTGCTCCTTGACCAGGAACTCGGCATGCGCGTCGTTGATACTGCCGTGGTGCAGCCACTCGTTGAGCATCACCATGTACGGCCTACTGGCGTCGCGCAGCAGCGAAGTCAGCAGCGCGCGCGCAGCCGGGTCTCCGGACATGGACTCGAGCCTCTTTGTAATGAGACCCAGCACAACGCCGCCTTTGCAAATCTTCTTCCCCGAGCCCGGGGCGAGATCGCCACCCTCCCGCAGCGACTCGAGGATGTTCTCAAAGTCGTCTGCGCTGTCGCTTTCTTCTTCGTCATCGTCGTCTAGGAGCGCGTTTCTCTTGAGCAAGTCATGCGCTAGGGAGTATAGATGTGACATCATCTTGCTTGTCGGTAATGTGTGAATGTTCAAAACGTGGAGAGTAAAAGTCTCGTTGGTTAGGAACTGTGTCTCCAGCTGCGCAATCATGATGAGGTAGTCATGTAAAAACTTCCTGATGGAGGCGCAAAGCGCGTGATTCACGGCGCCAAACTCGTCCCTACTCTGCACGTCGACGAACATCTCAAGGGCCGAGTAGTACGTCGCCATCTTCAGCATCGACAGTGTGAGGTCCTGCAGACTAGGGTCCAGGCCCGGCAGTATCCTGAACGTGGGCCCCGACAGCCGGTCCCTCTCCTCGTGCGGGTTGTACGTCTTTGCAAAGCGGATGTATTGCCCCTCGTAGCCCATGAAGACGAAGAGGAGATCCTCCAGTATCACGGCCTCTTGCGCCTCGAGAGACAGCTCGTTCAGCGGTTTCGGTTGCTGAGGCTGCGGCGCCTGTGCTGCCAACGGCGGTATTGATATTCGACACGCCAGGGGAGCCGATGTGTGAGGTAGTAGCGTCGCCTCTGGATTCCAGGGTGCTGCAATGCCGTTCAGTCAGACGCCGAACACTCTCTAACATCAACGGAACCACGCAGAACTCACCTTGCGGGGCGTCAACCTTGGCCTCCTTGGGCTTCGCCTCAGCCGTCCGCGACTTGGCCTCGCCGCTCTTCCCCTTTTCGCCTCCGCCTCTCACGGGGCTCCTCGTCCGCTGCGTCATGGTCTCGCGCTCCGTCACATACGTCCTCTCCGTCCGCCTCTCCTCCACACGTCTGTCATCGTGCATCCTGCTCGTAGCCCTGGGATTCCCCGACGCAGATCTCTTGTGCGCATTGCCCCCAGGGGAAGCCTCCCTCTCCCCTCTCTCGCGCTGCTGGTGGTGGTCTCGCTCTCGTTCACGTTCACGCTCCCGCGGCCTTTCTCGTTCCCTCTCTCGTTGTCGCGCATCGCTTCTCTCACTGCGCTCGCTCTTGAAGCTCGTCTGCCCGCTACCGGTGCCCGTACCGCTGGCCGCTGCGCCTGCTGCGTTCATGCGCGCCGTTCTTGAGGGTCGTTCCTGGTCGACGCCGGCAGCTGAGCCGTTTGCGCGCCGCTCATGGGTAGAGACCCTGGTGGTGCCGGACGACATGTCGCCGACTGCATCTGAATTGTGGAAGACTGGTGGTTGTTCCCATGAAAAGGCGTCGACTCGGCCGCGGTAGATTGAGAGGGGGAATTGGTGGTATTTCGGAGGAAAGTCGTTGTTTGGTCGTGTGGTGTGTGGTCTTTGTCTCTCTGCCCCTCTATCACGGAGTCGCAGTCCTACACTCCGCGTGTGGGTTGGGCTGGCTCGCTGCGTAGGTACGGTACCTTAAGGTAGCTAGGTACTCAGGCACTCTAACGCGGTAAAGGACCATTAATGTCAAGCGCGTCTAGTCGGAAAATCCTGGCGTGTTGTTGACCCCGGTCCCGGATGTGGTGTACCTCCCCTGGAATATTCCGGGTTTAGCGTGACGGCAGGTGTTGGAGGGGGACCCGGGAGTGACCAAGATGACCAATCATAAAGCTTCCACTCAAAGAACAGGGGGGCAGTAGGTAGACCGTAGGCGTGCCTGGGGCCCGGTCGCTGTCGGTTCCAATTGCTGCTGGGCCACACCCCCGTGCCCCCCAAAGGGAACCTGGCACACTGGAAGCTTACCCAGGTGGTGAGGTGCGGCTGCGTATTCGTAGGCTAGGTGCTTGCCTAACCACGCCTGCCATCTCAGCCTTCCACCGTCACCGTTTGTTACCTGGACCTTCCCCCAAGCTCCCCCTCCATCCATCCACACCTCAATCCAAACCACTCAGCATCCACGCAATCCCCGAACCACGACAACCTCAACCCGACGACGGCCCAAGCCATTGAACCTCCCGGTCCGAATACCCCTCATTTCCTCTAGGAACTACACACACACATCACCGCCAAGATGTTTATGGCAAGATCTGAATACGGTAAAGCACCCAAACCATCCAAATCACCCAAACCAAGCAACCCAGCTTCTCCCCTCCCATCCCTCCTTCGAACCTCCCCCCTCCCAGGAAAGCTGTCTCGTCTAACAAATAAACCCCTTCCAACCCAATAGACCGAGGAATCAACACCTTCTCCCCAGAAGGCCGCCTCTTCCAAGTCGAATACTCCCTCGAGGCAATCAAGCTCGGCTCCACGGCCATCGGCGTCGCCACTGCAGAGGGCGTCGTCCTCGGCGTCGAGAAGCGCGTCACCTCGACCCTGCTCGAGACGTCCTCCGTCGAGAAGATCGTCGAGATTGACCGCCACATTGGCTGCGCTATGTCCGGCCTCCAGGCCGACGCCCGCTCCATGGTCGAGCACGCCCGCGTAGAGTCCCAGTCTCACTCCTTCAACTACAACGAGCCCCTCCGCGTCGAGTCGTGCACCCAGGCCATCTGCGACCTCGCCCTTCGCTTCGGCGAGGGCGCCGAGGGCGAGGAGACCATCATGTCCCGCCCCTTTGGCGTCGCCCTCCTCATCGCCGGCTACGACGAGGACGGCCCCCAGCTCTTCCACGCTGAGCCTAGTGGTACCTTTTACCGCTACGACGCCAAGGCCATCGGTTCCGGCTCCGAGGGTGCGCAGGCTGAGTTGCAGAACGAGTACCACAAGGTGAGTCCTTTTCTCTCCCGCTTGGAGTTCCAGAGTGACACAGTGCTAACATCCTCCATAGTCCCTGTCAATTACGGATGCCGAGACATTGGTGCTCAAGACGCTCAAGCAGGTCATGGAGGAGAAGCTCGATTCGAAAAACGTCCAGCTCGCAAGCGTAACGAAGGAGAAGGGCTTCAGAATATACACAGACGAGGAGATGGCCGCTGTGGTGGAGAGGCTGCCTGCGAACTAAGGGGGAACCCCCGTGGTGTTTGCAAGATGATCTAGGGTGTAACTTGTCTCGGTCTCGGCGACTCGAGGAAAGAGAAAGAATAAACTCAGGCCGGGGTGGGCGAGGGAGAGAACGCGAAGAAAAGAGAGAAAGCAAGAGACCCAGAAAGCACCCGATTACGAAACTTTGGAACCTGATGTCTAGACGAATTTTCCCCCTCGAGAACTGTATCATTATTGTACTCAACGTGACGATGGCTCCGTTCTCTGAATCTCATCCATGGTGGTGACGCTGTGAATGGGCATATTGTATTTACAAAACGTACGACTATGACCTCTCTCCAAGACGTTGTCTGAGGTGCGCCTGCAACCGCTGTCACGCGTACGCTCACGCTCACACTAATATCAGCGCCCACAAGACTTGCTACCCAAGGTAAGCAGTTCACCGCCGGGAGTTGGACCCCTCTCACCCCTCATCCTTAATCACCAGCCTCTCCATCTCCTCTTCCACGCTAATCAGACCGAGAGCATAAAACGCCCTCTCCGACTTGGCGACGACGAGCACCGTGTCGTCGCTATCGAGCTGCTCGATGCGCGCGCCGATCCGCCGCGGGTTCGACCACACAGACGGCGGCACCACGGTCTGCAGGCTCGGGTCGCGCGCGTACGGCGGTCCCCGGCCCATGGCCGCCGCCTTCTTCCACCCGGACTCGCAGCCCTCGGCGATCTGCCGTGCCGACTGCCAGCCCGTGAGGCGGGCGATGTCGTGCATGCGTCTGACGATCCAGTGGCGTTGGGCGTCGCTTTGGTACTGCGGTGAGTGTTAGCAGGCATGGTAAGTACGATAAGTGAAAGGATACTCGGGGGGGTGGTCCTTTGCGCGAGAAAGTGCGTAGAGCAAAGAGGGAAAGAAAGGGGGGTCTTTCTCACCTGAATAGCGCTGACGAACAGACAGAAAGAACTCTCAATCAGCGCTGCGCCGACGAGGGTGCTAATCTCGAGCACATTGCTACAATCGTCCGTCAACCCGGCCGCGATCCGCCCAATCTCCATGGCGAACTTGGCCGTGTGCTGCGCCTGGATCCCCGCGGCGATCATAGCGGCGGGCGGCATCTTGGGGTGCGCGCGGTAGAGGTGGATGAGGCCCATGTAGTAGTTCATCCAGATGCCCGCCACCGAAAAGGTGCGGTACTGCAGCGTGGGACCAAAAGGTGAATCTCTGCGGTCGGCATACTCGGCGCCCAGGGGCTGGAATTCGGGGCCGAAGCGGGATCGGAGCATCTCAAAGGCCTCGCGGAGGGAGGTCCATTCGCGCATGGCTGCGTCGGCGGCTGCGTCCGAGTCGAGGTCGTCTTCCTCTGGGGCGTCGGGCGGCGGCGGGGAGTCGTCGCGAGGGGGGCTGAAGCCCATTGGCAGCGTTACCTTTCCGAGGTTGGGAAGCATGCCCGGGAACATAGGCGGCGAGCCACCGGGACCGCCGGGGCCCATTCCCGGCGGCGGCCCCATTCCTGGCGGTGGTCCTCCCATCATATTTGGCGGCGGCATGCCCATCGGGTGGCCGCCGGGAGGTCCACCCGGCCTCCCTCCCATCATCCCACCGGGCGGCCCCATCCCTGCCGGCGGCCAACCTTGACCGCCTCTCGGTGGCCCACCCGCACCCGGTGGTCCTCCTTGCGGTGGTCCTTGCGGTGGTCCTCCTGGAGGCCCGAAGCCCTTAAACGATTTCCTTTTCCTCGGGAGATCCTTTGATGCGAAGCTGCACAGGCGCCCAAGCAACAGCATGAGGTGGTCGTACGTTCCGTATCTATTGTTTGTCAGCCAAGTTGTGCCTTACACATTGCGACATGGGCGGATTTACATGGCCTCAAGTCGACCCATAGGCGCTCGTGGCGGACATTGCGTCCAGTGCTGGTAATCCATGCTATTTATGCGTGTAAGCCAACCAACCATTTCGACTGCATTAGTGTCAAATTCTTATGAAACTTACAAAGGTTTCCCTCCGCCCAACATGCTCTGGTACACATCCATCTTGCAGTACCACCAGTACAAATCTCTTAGATGTTCGTAGTGCTCGATATCGCGGTCCGTGTAGTAGTGTGGAGACGGCTCGTCGTCCTCGTACGAGACGTGCTGGTTGGTCAGCTTGCTGAGGAAACCGAGATCGAGATCGTCGAGATCGTGGCTCATCATGTGCGTGTTGTCGTGGCCCATGTAGAACGGGTCCATTGGCTGATTCTGGCTCTCCTGGAACAGCGCCCTCCTCACCCGTTTCAGCGGCAGAATGTTCTTTGTCATTTGCCTGAAGGGGATCTCCCTAATCAAGAGCCTGGAGCCAAAGAGATGGTTGCACCACTTTGTGTGATCCGAGTTCCAGACCTCAAAATACCCGAGCAAGAGGGAGGCGGCCAGTGTTGCTGGCGAAGTTCTCCTCTTAGGACTCCGTAGATTCTTTGCGATCCTGCGGATGGCGAGGTGATAATGCTTCATGGCCGCCGTCGGCGGTATTTGTTGCAGCTTGGCGATTTGTAACGCGCCCAATGCAAGCATGGCCTGCAGGAGGGCAGGATGTGTAAACGATATAATGGGAAACGTGTCTGATCAAGAATTAGTCAAGGTGGAACAGCAAGAACCGCAGTCTTATCAACTCACAGGTCCAAATGTTGTGTCCTGCTTTAGGCACAGAGGCATTGTTTGTCAACTTTGAGTGGTCGAAAGGATGCCGCTCGTATAGCGACATGCTTGGCCCTGTGACGTTGATAAAGTGCCAGAACAAAGCAGCAGTTCGTTCATCGTTGAGTGGCGAATTGTTAGGCGTGGGTATGTACGATGTGAGAATCGTCTCGTCAGCAAAAGCCGAGAAGGACCTCATCTTAGTTCCGAATCCATCCCAAGGTCCATCGTTCCGGCTCTGCACCAGTTGGCCGTACGCGCTCTCTTCGCCCATGAGATCTTCGAATGCGTCCTCGGAGTCGGGCATGGAGGCGTCGTCGTCCGAGCATGGGTACTGGAAGTCTGCATCCTCCACAGGAAGATTCATCTGAGGAGCGGCATTGGCACTAGGATACACATCCATCTCTTCCACCCGCGCTTGAGCTCTCGCCGGCTGATGTTTCCATGGTTCTGTCGGACTGTGGACAAACGCGCCACTATCTGTGTTGGGGCTGACCAGGTTGCTCTGTTGGCCACCAAATTGCGCCTGAAATTGACTGGCTGGTGAGATGATGGAAGAGCTTGAGTGCATGTGTTGCTCGCCATACGGGAACTGATTGAAGTCGAAAGCACTTGGAGGAGGGACCTGGTTTTGGTGTTGACCAGAGAAGCCTTGACCATATGGAAACATCGGTTGGCCCTGGAAATCTAGATGCTGCGGCGGCTTAGGCGCAATCGGTGCCAAAGGAGGACCGTTAATGGACTTGGGTGGCGGGTTGGGCAGTTGATTGAAAGACTGGTTTGGCGCCTCGGGAGGATAGATGATAGGACCGTAGCTGCCATTGAGATTGAAGCCAGCGATAGGTTCTTTGAAAATGACACGCTGATTGTATCCCTCGCAGTGCCTTTTTGACTTGATGCAGTTGTTACAGATGGGCCGGCCCTCATCGCATTTTATGCGACGTTTGCGACATGCTTTGGAGTCAAGTCAGACTCCGAGACCTAATGTCAACGTGAGGAAGGGGAGGCAGGAGGAAAGGAGGTGGGAGGAAGTCAAGGGTCAAAATTGGGGGCTCAACACATGGAACATACTGAGACAGCCGGTTTTCGTCCTTTTCCGCACGTTAGCTTTCTCTTTCTTGCGGTTCGCGTCTTCATTCTCATTGTCGTCATTATTGTCGTTGTTCTCCGAGGTCTTGGAGGGCGACTTGTCGTCCTCGACGACCACGTCGGCGGAATCCATCCTAGTAGATGCTAGTGCGCTGCGAGTAAGATCGGAAGTTGCGACGCGGCTCTTAATCCATGAGTATGTTGACGAAGACAGGCTGCATTGTCTAGTAGCAGTGGTTTGTATTTCTGCAGCGCGGTGATATAGCGAATGTCTCGTTCCCGCAGATGGGAGGGCCCCTCTCTGAAATTCGTGTAGTCCTAGGTAGGTATCGTGAAGCTAACAAGAATGGTTACGAGACAAGCCAGGTTCCGAGGCTTGAGCCACTGTCGAGAATGTGAAAGACTACAGTACTCTCTTACTAGCCACCAAGCGTCTGGGTGTGTTGTTGAAAAGTCTAGCGGCAGCGCAACGAGACACTGTGGATAATTCCCGTTTATTGTGCGCGGCACCCGGATCGAAGGAGAGAATCAAAAGGACGCAGGTATGGGGCCCCAAGGATGTAGATGAGTTTTAAGCAGCCATAGATGGTGGAAGGAAGTGAAACAGGCCGGTGCTACTTTGTCTTCGGCGAATGGGTTGTCATGGGTTAGACAAGATGCATGGACTCGTGGGGTAGGACGGGGGTAGAGGAAGGGTAGGGATGTCTGCAGCAGTTGGGAGAGAGAGAGAGAGAGAGAGAGAGAGAGAGAGAGAGAAGGGAGTGTTTGTCTCTTGCTCACGACACGACACGAGAAACGAGGATTTGGTATCCATAGAAAGAGAGAGTGGGAGACACAGAGACACTTACCCACCCTAGACAAGGAAGGATAGACTAGGAAACAAGTAGAGGTCCCAAGGCAACGTATTGTGCCTTGAGTTAGGGTCTCTGATTCGAGGCTAGAGCAGGCCAGCGTGGGGAGAACAGATGGCCACAAACAACGGGGGAGCCGCCAAGAAGCAAGTACCTTCTCTCTGGACTGAGAGGAGGCCGGGATGACCGGGGTCGGTAAAAGGACGACGAGGAAGGAAGCCGGCACCTAAAAAGTAGTCACGGCTTAGTAGTGTACCTTATTGTCGTGACTGGTGAGTACCTAGGTGCATCGAGAGTGAGTGTGAGAGAGAGAGAGAGAGAGGCACAGAACTAGACCGCTAACCGCTAAGGCGAGAATGGAGAACAAGATAAGAGAGTGTACGGAGTACGTCTTGTCTCTATCGTGTGTCTCCTGAGCTGCCTCGCTCTCTCTTTCTCTCATTCTCCTCCTCTCTTTCTCTCTCTCTTCACACACTCTCTCTTACTCTCACACTCACTCTGTGCCTCTCTCTGGTAGGCGCGCGGGACAGGGGGTCATGGAAGCCGCCAATGTCTCTCCTGCTGCTATTGTGACTCGAGAAAGAGAAACATAAAAAACGCACCAACAGTTTGTATGGGATCGCTCCCGGGACTTGGATGGATTATTCGAGGGGATGGGATGGGATGGGGGAAGCACAAGAGAAGAAAGGCGCAGCTAGTGAGCCAGCCACAGCAATGAAGGTGACGGGGGGTATCCTTGAGTTATTCGTGGATCATGTTGGTGGTGCGGCAAGACGACGGGAAGGGAGGAAACATTACGGTGGCTTGCGGACGCCGCACAGCATTGCAACACAGCGCAGCACACCCACATTGGATCTTCCCGCTGGCTGGGCTTGCTTGCTCTTTGGTTCCTTTGGTTCTTTTGGTTCAAGGTCGGGTTCCATCTGGTACTGGATATCCCCTGTTGATGGTGCTAAGACACTGGCACCAACTCCATGAATAACCTGCAAGGTGAACACCTCAGCACAGACAGAACATCTGAACCTCGTACGGGATACCTTGTCCTCGGGCAGGGCAACCAGCCGCGGGAGAAGATTGCTTGCTTCTTTCGCATTTCCATTCTCCCCGCGGCGCCAGAAGGGAATCAAACTGCCACATCAGGGGGGCGCAGGGTGGTAGATAGTAGTGAAGATGGTGTAGCTTCGAAGCTCCGTCATGATTCTGGCCAAGGTTCCACGCTAGGATGATGCGCTGCTGCACTGCTGCTAGGACGCCCAGACTTAGGCCGTTTAGGCCTTAGGGTCCCCTCGGTTACTACTGGAAGAGGGGCCGACGGCGGCGGGCGGCGACGGCCATGTACTTTGTGCGGACACCTCTGGTCTCTTCCCTCTTCCAGCTTTCCAGGGCCCAGGGGTCTGTCATGTCCCGGATGACAGCCCATCGGTGGATATAGCGCGCGGCACTAATTAAGGTAAGGCCAGCTAACGTGCCTTCGTCGCTCAGGCAGTCAGCCTACATATACGGTTGTAGTCTGTCGGTAGTGTAGGTGCCGGTAGGTAGACCAAGACTCTACGGAGTACGGATACCAAGTACCAACATCCCTGGCCTAAGAAGGTTCTGACTGACCTCTGCCGGTTGGGCTCAGTCGAGGTAAGTGGGTGTGCTGAGGCTGAAAGAGTGAGAAAAGTAGAGGAAACTCGGGGGAGCCAAGACCTGCGCGGGAATCCGGGAAGGCATTCGAGGCACCCACGGCACCGAGCCTCCTCGCGCCTCGCGTGGCTTCTCTTCTTCCCCTTGGTGACAACCCATCCATTCCGATGAGCTAATCTGTACAGATGCAATTGCGCACGGAGATTGGGAGCCGTAAGAGCTTGGATAGGGGAGCCGCCAAGCTGAAAAATCCAACGGCCTCATCCAACAAACTTTGTCCTCGCATTTCCGGGTGTCAGGCCAAGGTCGACAGGGCGTGCCCAGGGCAGTCCGTAGGACCGTAGGTACGGATTTTGTGGACAGTGGACGACGGCACGAACCATTGGGTTGCGTGACCAGGTACCGTAGAAACTCGAGCAACTCGAACTTGCGCTAGCCCGTGCCAGCCCTGCTAGCGGCCCACACTAAGCCCTTTCGAGGGATCAGTTTTATCCGATTATATAATCGACTAAACCGTATACGGAAGGCGGTAAGTGATTATTTTCCATTTTTTACTCCTACCCAACTGCCCACTTCCACCGATTACATCACCGATTTGACCACCAATTATACTGTCAATTATACCTCCAATTACACCTCCACCACGGGCCTCGTCGACGTGCCCACGATGCCCTCACGACGGGCCCTTGCCGAGAAGGATTCGAATACGGCAAAAGTGCCAATTACACCTCCAGCAGCTAAGCGCCGCGGGCCTGCTCCTACCCCCATCAAAGACCGGAAATATACACCGCGAAGTGGCCCAATCAAGCGCCGCCAGCACCACTATACCCACGATACCAAAGTCAACGTCCTGATGTTTTTAGAGCATCACCGCGTGAGGAAGCTCGACGAAGAGTCGATTTGCCCCCCGAGGCTGCGCCAGGGCGAGACCGAGCTCCCAGGGATATACAGACGTCCCACATACCAGGAAGCCGCAGATTGGTTCAAAGTCCCTCGAAGCACGGTTATCTCCTGGTATCAGAACCGCGAGTCAATCGTCAATCGGTCCTCCAACTACGCCTACCACCCTCAGTGGCCAGAGCTCGAGACAGCGCTATACGGCGCCTTCCGCCAGCGACGAAGTGAGGGAAAGCTCGTTAGTACCAGTTGGTTCAAAAGGACCGCTAAGCGGATTTTCGCCCAGCAGAACCCGAACAGCAAACATCTTTTTATTTTTTCCCCCGGTTGGTTTCGTGGCTTCCAGAATCGTATGAGAATTACCCGACGTCGACTTACCAAACAGGCAACGAAGTTACCCACTGAGTACTTCAAAGTTGTCAACAGCTTTCTTTCCTTTATCCGACGAGTTAATCAAATGGCCCTGGCTAAGGTGAAGCGGTCTAACGTCGGAGATTTACTCGGAAGTCCAGCCCGTCGATTTCCTAACTCGCGAATTCTCAACCTCGACGAGACCCCAGTTCCTTTCGAATACCTAGACGGTTACACATACGACGACGTCGGGGCCAAAACCGTGGCTGGCAAGAGCGACCGCAGCGGTTGGGGCAAGCGGCAGGCCACATTAATACTCTACATCTTCGCCGACGGCATACAACGAATTAAACCGAAAATAATATTCCACGGCAAGCCCGCAGAGGAAGGGGGTCAATTATGGAAAAAAGAGGGCCTATTATACGCAGAAGGAGTGACAGTTGAGTTCAACAAGACTGCCTACAACAATGAGTACTTGTTCAAAAGATGGATTGAAGAGGAATTGGTAGCGCTGACTAAGGGAGACGAGTACCTATTGGTAATGGATGTCGCTTCCTTCCATAAGACAGATTCCATCCTTGCGCTATTACGTCAGCACCACATCACACCCTGCCTCATACCGCCAGGGACCACTTCCCTCCTCCAACCTCTCGATACCGCAGTCAATAAGCCCTTCAAGCAGTGGCTTTCAGAAGCAACCGACGCTTACGTACTCGACGAGGAAGAAAAAGCGCTGAATAAGCAGGAGGAGCTCAAGTGGGAGACGGGTATGAAGAGAATAATGGTCACCAAAACAGTCGAGACGGCAGCCGCTAAATTGGCCCACGAGAAGGGCTCAATGGTCAGCCAGGCCTTCCTGCAGTGCGGAATATCTATTCGGCCCGATGGCAGCCAGGTCGACGAGATCCGGATCAAAGACGTGCCCGCCGAGGCCATCGATTACACTGGGTGGGAGCTCTTCGACGTAGAAGCCCACATTGAGCAGGAGACGCTGCAAGAGGAGATTCCAGACTTCGCTGTTCTGAACGACGGGTTAGAGTACATTTTCACAGCAGAGGAAGTCCGTGATGGCATCAATGGGCAGTTCGTCGACCCGACAGTCCAACCGCCGTATGAATAGGGGCCCGTTGGAGGCAGTGGGCCAGGGGACAGTCAGGGGCTCGGTTGCTTACGTACGACTGCTTCCAATTGACACTTTTGCCCTTTTTGCCAATTCGACGAGAAAAGCTCAAAACCGACGAGAAAGCCAAAATAATTATTGAATTATATCAATTGTGGGTCCGGCCTCGACGGCGAGCTCTCATTGGTCAGATCGATCGAAATGTTAACCTACGCCAAAAATAGGTGGCGGCCGCATTTAACCACTTTAGGCAGTATTACGATTCTGCCAGAGCGCTAGCAGGGCTGGCACGGGCTAGCGCAAGTTCGAGTTGCTCGAGTTTCTACGGTATCAACATGACATGCCGTCCGAATAAGACAGCCCGCCTTGAATCGCAGACTCGCAATCTCTCGCAGAGGACATGGGGGCAAGAGATGTAGATGCCGAATCTGATTTTCGTCCGAGGTTCGAGTGGTCTGGACTCACTTCCCGACAGGGTTGCCCAGCCTGCCAGCCTTCTTCTGCCCCTCACCAATTCTCTGCCCTAAGGTAAGCAATGACCAAGCGGTGATCTGGTGGGGAGAAAAAAACGGTCGACAGCATGCGGAATTCGTCGAGGCCTTGCGCGAAGGCTCTGGCTCGGGATCGGTCTTCCTGAGCGCCCGTCACCGTTGAGATTTACGAACCGTCCGTCCGTAGTTCTGAGGTTGGGCCTCAGCCAGGTCTGGAGGTCGACATTGTTGAAGTGGCATCTTGACAAGTTCTCGGCCACCGCCGAAGGCAGCGCGCCGGTGGCGTCTCTGTCCAGGCGGGATAGATCCACTTGCCATGAGCCGAATTACCATGTGCCGAGCGGGAAACTAAGGTTTATCCCCCCTTGGTTTTTCTGCGAGGTCGGGGTTTGCACAGAAGCCGTCTCGTTCTTGTTACTTGCAAATGGAGGGGCATGATCTGATAATCCATATCGTCGTGCACAAGCGTTGAGAACAGCGGCACGCGTGGCAGAAGGATGGGCCTAGTGTTCGGGTGTATGTCATGTTCCCTGCCCGACTATCCGCACTTGTCATCCAAGCAACGTCAGGGTCCATATCCGCTGGCCGCGAGCATTTCGCCGGGACGCACTGGATGGGAAATTAAGACGTCGGAAACAATGTGTTGCTGAAGGATCCCGGCAACATTCGCCCGTCTGAGGATGCTTTCAAATACATCCGAAATCCATGTCGGGGGCCAACCGTCGCGTTTCCGACCTGCTGGATGGTGTGACCGATCACTGGTCGCAGCATCGTTGACTGGCATACGGTGCAACACAAACGTTGCGCATTGTTGAACGAAAGGAGGCGTGCTGATCACCGCGAGCCGCCTTCGCCCATGCTCTCCTAAACGAGCCGGTCACATCCAGCTCCCTATATCGTCCATGGCCTTGTACACTCCCGATGCCCCTCGATACGCGCAGGAACACACCGCACCTTGGCAGATTTCCCCAGACGTTTGTTTACTCTATCCGATCTCAGTCGAAGCCCGCAAAAACGGTTGCTGCAGGTCAGAGATGCAACTTGCCTTCTCGCAGCCGCAAAGCCCGGCTCAAGGTCTGCATAGCACCACCCGGAAGAGCAACAGCTTTCGGCCCTCCTGAAGTACGTTCCGGGATGCTTTTGACAGTTTGATTCGCGAATTGTCTGTGGACTTGGGATCGGTACTTCGCTGGACGCTCCTCGCATCAACAATCAGAACAGACATTCAGTCTTCCGCCTCGGCGGTCAACGTGGGACTTGTGTCGCAATCAACTTTTCAGAAAGCTGACGGTAGCATTCGAAGGTTTCTCAGGAAGCTTGTTGTTCGCATTGAAGTCTTTTAGACATCTCCAGCTGGGCTCTTCGAAAGAGGGTGATCTGAAAGACAGTTCTCTGCGCTCGAATAGGTAAGGTCCTTTGACCTGCCACACCGTTTCTCCCCACCTCGTCTCTCTTTCGCACCGAATGTAGCAAAGCGCCCATTGACAGCCTTCCGTTGAACCGGGCAATACGCCGTACCCATGTTTTCGGGCCAAACATCGGTGCTTCTGTATTGAACTGACCCATGCCGAGAACCTGTTAATTATCCGCATGCCAGTCGGGTATCAAGTGTCGGAGCCTTCCTCCATCGGGTAAAAGAGGTCTGATGGATTAGGTCCTCCCAAGGAATGCCTCCCGCGAAATCGTCTTGGAATGGGGGTGCAAGAAGCCCTGTGGTGATGAGGGTTGCTGACGTCTGACCTGGGGATCGAGAATTGCAATGCACATCCATCCCGTTTCACCGAGTCGATGTATAAAGCATGCGACCAAAGGCTGATATCTTGGATCATACCCCGTCAGTGACTCGGAGGTGTCGAAATCCGGCGCCAAAATACACCCTACGAGTCGGGCAGGTTGTTTTCGTCTTCTGAGTTGCATGCGGCCGGATCCGGGAAGGAGTGACTGCTGTCTGAAGTGATTGGATTATCTTGCAGCGCCTCTCTGTGACGACTCGTAAACCGTTTCTCGTTGACGTCGATGAAGGCTACGTGCAGCAGATAAATCGCCGGTCAGATGTACTTGCTTCTTTTCTCTATTGTTCCAATCAGCACTGTTCTTGAGCTTGTTGCAGCCGCAACAGTATGCAGCTTGATTACTAGTCAATGTGGCCCCGGCAGCGTTGCCCAGAACTGCAAGTCAGACGAGGTTCCCAAGTCGTGTTGGCATGGATGGTAATAAACGCGGATTCGTGGCTCCTGAAGACCAGTCTGAACTCTCGAGTCCGCAAATCAGGCCATCACCCACACAGCCAGCTGCGAAGTGTAGAAACATTTCCAGGGGTTTCTAGTGTGTTGGGCTTAGTCCGAGGGCATCAACGGCCTAGCTCGCCAATAGCGTGTTCCGCAATCGACTGGCTGTAGTTCCCCCGGGGCGACATTAACAAGACGGAGTGCCGGGCTGCGCAAAATGCCGCGTTTGCGGGTATTTCTTATAGACAGGAATAAGGTCTAGGAATTCCAGCCGGCACCGTTGGATCGACTTTGATGATTGTTCCGCTGTGGCGACGACCGTTGAAACTATACTACCACACTGGCAGTCAGAGCAAGGATATCGACCGACAATGGGGCTAGAATGTTAAGCAAGAGCGAAGAAATTGCGGAGAACTACTCCGTTGCACTAAATGATTCGTATATATCTTGTTGGAAATTTGGATGAAGCGTAAAGGTCATGAGTAGATGGGAAGGGAAGTCAAAGACGGGATGCAATTGTGGAAGAGGAAGCAGAGGAAACAGAGGATGAGCGCACGGCCCACCCATCTAACTCGACTCATCCTGGCGTCGATCAAGGCGCAGGGGTGCGATAAGCGACCTCTGGGGAAAGAAAAAAAATTCCAACGTCGATAAGCCATGAGATTGAGCCATGAGATGCGCATGAGCTTCAAGCACCAAACTCGCTCACCACCACATCCTTCTGTTCTCCTAGGCGCGACAAGACCGTCACATATTCCGGTGATCTATAACATCAACTTTGGTAATACAAACATGTTCGCCGTCCCAGGATGGTCCGTCGCGGCCGAGGGTCTCAAAACCGAGACCCAGGTAAAGAAGGCCAGCAACCCCGCCAAGGAGAGCAAGAAGCGTAAGAGAGCCAACAAGCCGGAGAAGAAGGAGAAGAAGGCCCCTAGCTCGGGCGCAAACTCCGTCTTGGTGAACCCTCGCGTGTTTGGAGAAAAGAGGGACGAAGCTCCTCCCGCGACCGCTGAGGCTGGCCACGATGGTGACGATGCGGATGAGGCTGAGGCCGAGACGCCCAAGCCGAGCAAGAAGCAGAAGAAGGAGAAGAAGGAAAGGAAGAGTGAGGGAGGAGAGAAGGCGCAAGAGACGCCCAGATCCGACAAGAAGGAAAAGAAGCAGCGAAAGGAAAAGTCCAACAACGAAGAAGAACCAGCCACACCAGCAGCAGCCGCAGAGACGCCGTCAAAGACACCAAAGGCCGCCTCGACAGACAACAAGCAAGCCAAGGAAGAGAAGAAGAAGAACAAGGACGCCGCCGCCGCCATCGCCGCCTCCGTGCCCCCCGTCCCGCCTGCCGCCGCCAAGCTCACCCCTCTCCAGCGCTCCATGCGCCAGAAGCTCGTCTCGGCCCGCTTCCGCCACCTCAACGAGACGCTCTATACCCGCCCCTCGGCCCAGGCCTACCAGCTCTTCGAGGACTCTCCCGAGATGTTCTCCGAGTACCACGAAGGCTTCCGCCGCCAGGTCGAGGTCTGGCCCGCGAACCCCGTCGACGGCTACATCCGCGACATCAAGCTCCGCGCCAAAGGCCGCTTCCCCAACGCCGGCGGCCGGGGAGGAGGACGCACAGGCGGCGCACCACCGGCCGCCAACGGCCCTCAACCTCTGCCCCGTACCGACGGGACGTGCTACATCGCTGACCTGGGCTGCGGCGACGCCCGCCTCGCCTCGACCCTCGAGCCCGAATCCAAGAAGCTCAAGCTCCAAATCATGAGCTACGACCTCCACTCCCCCGCGAAACACGTCACAAAGGCCGACATCGCCAACCTCCCCCTCGAAAACGACTCGGTCGACGTCGCCATCTTCTGCCTCGCCCTCATGGGCACAAACTGGCTCGACTTCATCGAGGAGGCCTACCGCATTCTCCACTGGAAAGGCGAGCTCTGGATCGCCGAGATCAAGTCCCGCTTCGGCCCCGTGTCCCGCAAGAACGCCGTCGTTTCGCACAGCGTCGGCAACCGCAAAAAGGCTGCAGCTGCTGCTGCCGCAGGAAAGAAGACAAAGGAGCCCGAGGAAACGGAGGAGGACCGCACGGCTCTCGCCGTAGAGGTCGACGGCCACGAGGACAAGCGCGGCGAGACGGACGTCTCCGCGTTTGTCGAGGCGCTGAGAAAACGCGGCTTCGTCTTGGCAGGCCAGGGCGAGGGTAATAAGGGCGCCGTGGACCTCTCCAACAAGATGTTTGTCAAGATGCACTTCATCAAGGGCGCCGTGCCTACAAAGGGCAAGGGTCTTGCCGCGGCCAAGGCCGCCGGCTACGTGGAGAAGAAGGAGAAGCAAAAGAGGTTCGTGTGGGAGACGGAAGAGGACAGGGTCGATGAGACGGGTATCCTGAAGCCCTGCGTGTACAAGATCCGGTAGTAGACTGACCGGTTGTGTATTGTTCTTGCAAGGTTTGGTTGCATAAAAGTTGTCTTTACTTGGGGCTAATATCACGCTCGTCGAAAAAATGCATATATTTTGTAATTGCGACTGTCCGTTCTGCAATTCAGCTGGGTGCACTGTGACTATTGTGTAGAGGACTACAGCGAATACTGTCAAATGTAATGGTTCAAAACACACGAGCACGGGCAAGTTTCAAAGGCTCAGGTGGCATTACCTGAAATTCAGAGTGCCGAGTGTGTCTATCAAAACGCTTTAAACGCATATCATGTCCAGCTGCGCATGCATGATACGACGACTCCAAGTCATCCCTCCTCTCCATCCTTAGATGTCCCATAACCGTGCGATCCGACCATGCAGGCCCATTGCAACCAAAGAAAATCCGATACGCCCCTAGTCCAGTCTATGCCCCGAATAAGAGACCAGCAGCGAACTCGACATTGCCACCTGTGGCTTGCAAAGCATTGATCGCGGCTTCACGTGGGAAACCCAGAGCCATCAGCTGGTTGATGTGCTCTTCCGGGAAGGTTGGCGTCGTAGGCTGCTGCTGCTGCTGCTGCTGCTGGGGTGCAGGACGACCCTGCGGAAGGGTTTGCTGCGTCGGCGCGGCAGCAGCAGCGCCCTCGGGACCACTGACAACACCAGAACGCTGACCGATGGTCGTCCCAGCTGGGCCAGGCAGTCTGGGTTCTTCCTCCAGAGCCTCCTCACTCTCCTTGGGAATCTCCGCTTCACCCAAGAACGACACTTCCTCGCCCTGAATGATTAGCTTGTCCTTGGCTAAGTCAATGCTGGCTTGGTAGCGCTTAAGCATGTCGAGGCCAAGGAGAAGCTCGACCTGCTTGCCCTCCATGACGGTGAAACTGCAAGGCAGGAACATGGTGCCGACCTTGATCTGGGCAGAGTGTACGCGTCCAATGATGTTAGCTGTGCCCACACCACGAGCCACGCCCGCAAACCGTTTGTCGACGAGTCTCATGATGCCGCAGGCTTCCGCACATGAAGGGGACATGATGGTTGCCTGTGCTCCAGAATCGACCAACGCCTTTACTCTATGGCCGTTCACCTCGACGTCAACATACAGCATGTGTACTCGTCCGAATACTATGTAGTATTAGCCTTCAGGCCCGCACTTGTTACGCGTTGGGTTGTCTGCCATACCTTCAGGGTTGTGCTCCATGGCATTTTGGAGGTTTTCCATAACTCTCTCTTGACGAATCATCTCTTCAATTTTCTGCTGAGCTTCGACATCGAAAGGATCCTCGTTCAGGCGTGCAATCTGCCTCTGGCGCTCTTCGCGGTCTCGCTGCTCACGGTCGTAGCTCTGGTTGAAAAGTTGGGCGAATCTCTGGGGATCATCGAGCACGGCGGCGAGCTGGGGCTGCTGGCGGGTGGCTTCTGCACGTAGGTTTGGGTCGCCCAGGATCTGAAGGCGAATGAGCTCTGGATCCTGTCCTCCTGGTCGCCGGCGCTGCTGCTGCGGTGCCCTTCTGCCCTGATCCGGCAAACCAGTGGTTCCTTGCATGTCCCTCACGTGTAGCGCCAACATCTCGCCGTCGGCGATCTGCAGCTGTTCCATCGTCTGAGTATCATCTTGAATCAAGCGACCGTTGTGGTAGAGGTGTTGGGAAGTGGGTGCGATGTTGGTCTCCGCTTGGATAGCTTCGCGGAGTGTGGACATGGGCATGTCAGGAAAGATCTCAAGGGTTAGGAGATCCTGGTCCTCGACCTCGGGGTTCGTTATGCTAAGCGTGATGCGCCTGTTGGAGAGGAGAGCAGTCAGCGGAGAACGTTTCCAGTCCCGACAAAGCATCAAGGCTTACATGATGGAATCTTGTTCCTGGTGCACAGGTAGGAGCTGTTGGCCGCTGGCTTGATCGGGTGATGAAGGAAATGGACTGGCGGCGAGAAGAATGAAAGAGGCCGGTTCTGATCCAGGGAAAGCGTCGGGTTTCACTGTTGCGAAAGCGAAGTTGAAGTTACCCTCAGCACGGAGCTGCGGAGGAGGGGTGTAGGAGGGGCCGAAATTCAGGCAACACAACAGTGACGTCTCATCCGGAAAGTAAACAGCTGCTAGATGGACGATTGGACAAAGTAGAGCTCCGCGAAAAGTTTCGAGGTGACTGCGCAGTCTTGTAGCGGTGGTGAACGATTGGATAGGTGGTATCTGATGTGTTGAGAGACACTTGGTCTCAAAGGTCGGATCTCAAGGTAAGGTGGAAGAGAGCCGGGGGAGGTAGGGGAAGGTAAAAGCAAGGTAGAGCTCGGCTACTTGGGGGGTACCTTTTTGAGTGTTTCGTAAGGAAGGTGGGTGCAGTGACGAGACCCCTGGGCTACGTTTCCCCGTTTGCAGTGGCTCAAGATGGGGTCGACGGGGAATCAGGACGGGGAATGTATCCGTCCTACCTATTTACTGCGAATGAAGTACTAAGGTAAGGTAGAATGGGGCGGCTGGAATACAAACACTGTGAAGCAAACCTGCGTGTTCCCAAGGAATACCTTACTTTTCCGCACCGGTACCTAAGAGACGGGAGTGAAAGCACTGGCCACGGAAGGAGATGGTGGACAGAAGCTCATGGAAGGCTTCGGGAACTTCTCCGCTTACACCTTACCTTACAGATACCCGACTGTGTGTTTCCTGTCAGCCAGACGCATGCTTTGTTTTGTTTTCTTCACTCTGGGCATATTTGCGCGTCAATCGCTGCCGCTCAAGGCATCTATGTACTCACTTAGCCGCAGCAAGGAGGTCATTGATTACTTGAGCTTCCCAGTTCCAAGGTTGCTGAGGTCACAGCAGCACGGGCAGGTTCCCCTACGGCATATCAGCCCCACGAGCTAATCGTTGACTAAGCTGTCAAGTGTCTCCAAAGTATCTTTGACTGGAAACCAGGTGGGAGATGGTGCAATCGAGTACTTGGCCTATACCTGCGGCAGCTGCGCGAGCCAAGCAAGCGACCTCAACAACCCTTGCAATCAACTCGTGTACTTCCTTCTGGACCAGGTACAAGAGGTGAGAATCCCCTCTTTGTTTCTATTCTTTCTGCACTTGGATCTTTTTCCTTTCTTGTGCCGAACTGACATGTCACAGATCCTCAGATTGTGCCGCCAATCGATGTCTAGCAGCGACATCTCCTGCCACCTCCGCCCGTGGGTTTCTGTGCGACGATGACAAGCCTACGAGCACTTAAAATTGCCGCTGCTCGAGGCAGAGAAAACACCTGCTCCCTCGCTTAGAATATTCGTCCGTTTTTCTTCTCCTCTGGAGCCATGACGAAGAACTTCTATCACGTCCTACCTTAATGTTCGACGATGGGCGCGGCCTGAAACGGAAATACTGCATCGAGTTTCTTCTTCTTCATCGCCCCATGCTGAAGAGGTCCCAGCATCGACCTGTCTGCGACCTCACTGCTCACTCTCCACTCGGAGAGCAATCTCGCAGGTCTGGATCGAGTCAATGACAATGCATAACTTGTTCAGACGGCGACTGCAAGTACCGGGGATTTTTTCCTGAACGGAATGTTCATGATCTGACGGCACAGAATCTTGATTCCAAGCTGCCATGGCTCCCACTGATATCTCGCATGCGGCCTTTTGAAGGCGAGCAGAGATCGGCCAACCAACCTCGCTTCGCTGGAGGGTCGGAACTGCAGTCAGCTCGGATGCCGGCCTTGAAGTCGGTCGGATCCGGCTTCCGGTGGTGGCCGCATTCCGGGTTCTCGACGTTGTTTAGTTGCAATGCTCCGCGTCCTCGTACTTGGTGCAGTATGCGCTCTCAGCCTCTGCAACCCACACCAATTCATTAGGAAGGTCCATGACCACAGCCCAAGCGGGTTGACTCATAACGTACAACTCAGAAAGCCTTCGGACTTCACCCATCTGACATGGTGCAAAGCCCCAAAAGTGCCTCAGGGCCCTTCCTAGACCTTATTGAGCCTGCTGCATATGCTGCATTGCGGCGGGGCAATGCAACTCTGGATCGCCGACCCGGAAAGATTCTCGAAGTCGATGCTGCAGTTATGTCCATTTCGGTGAAGGCCTGCAGCTGTCAACATGACACGGCGAAAAGTTTTTCGTCTGCTTGCTTCGGCCTCGGGGTTGCAGCTTTCTTATTAGCCAAGATCCAGACGAAAGCCAAGGTCCATGCAGATCGACAGGCTCAGGGTCTTCTTGCCTACACAGTATGGTGTTGCTGCGGATATTCTACCTTCGTATCCAAAGATATATTATCGCCTTCTAGTATGGAGTACAGGTTCCATACAACTCAACGGTGGGCTGTTGTGCCGTACAAGTGTCAAGCACACCGCAGCAGCCGCAGTCAGGGGAAAGGAGCAACAAGCATGCCGGCCAAGACCTAACTAAGGTCAGTCGCTCGCCCATCCACGCGAACACAAAAGTCTGATTCTAAATTGCACCGCACTCCTCTTTTCAAACTTTGTCGTTGCAGTCGCTGACAGTGCCTAGATCTTGTTCGGTTTCTGTCGGCTGCATTGGCCAGAAGCAGCCTCAACCTGACGGGACGGACCAACAATCAGCGGTCTGGAAGAAAACAGCGCGTTGCTCAGTCCGCCAAAGACCAGATATTGCATCGCTAAAATCCCAGGAAAATCGTAATCATTCACTCTCCAGACAATATGCAACCCTGAGGTTATGTACTCACAAACTCTGTGCTTGTACCCTGACAGGCGTAGGCAAGACTGATCTCACTGGCAGCATAGGAGCACCGGAGCATGGAGTGATGTTGAAGTTGGCTTACTGTGGGGAAACAAGTACAAGTCAGGTCACTTTCTCTCTCTCTCTCTCTCTCTCTCTCTCTCTCTCTCTCTCTCTCTCTCTCTCTCTCAGGTCTTCCCTTGATCCCAACCGACTTTGCCCTATGTGCAAGCCTTTTCAAGCACGTTTTTCAGTTTTACCCTGCCCTTGGGCAATGACCTGGGTCGAAAGAAAGCAACAGTACCCATTGTTACCCGCTATGCCCTGCAAAGAAGACCTTTTCCGCAATCCCATCTCAAAAAGCTGGGAAGCCACGTGAACAGCGCCATGTCTCTTTCGCCAATGCCACAACTCGGAGAGGTTTTCTGGGAAGAGTGGGAAATAAGATGGAGCCGGGCAACAATTCCAGAGTCGCCTGGAAATACCCATGGGCTGAACAGGCCACAACTGTGCCACTGCGGGTAGGTCAGTCACGCGACAAACACCTCATAACCACAACCACACCTCACACAGAGTGTCCAATGATGGAGGGGTGTTGCTCTGCCATGGCCCATGGCAAGTCACTGAACTCCAATTCCCTCCAGTTTTCTCTTTGGCTGCTGCAATACCAATCCCATTTTCTACCAACTCCATACCTTTCTGTTTGGTCTACAGCCAGGTTACTCCTCTTTTTGCAATCCCGTTATCGCCTTCACAGCTCAGGTTCACTTGACTTGTCCCAACGCTTTGTCCCCTCTCCGCCGTGGACCACCTAATCTGACCTTAGCCTTTCTGAGACGTCTTCCCTCCTCCGTTGTCCGACACCCACTGCCCCGAGCTAAGGTGCTCACTCGGCCTTGCTTATCGGCACACACCGGCCGGGCATTACTTGACTCACAGCCCCGTCAGGCCCCGCTCTGCAACGACAGCGCCGAATCCAACGGCCGGCAGCACCCCGATGCCCCTCCGGAGCTACGTGTGCACTCGCCCAACCAGCCCCGGAAGCCATCACTGCAAGGAACCAACAGCACCCGCCTCTTCTGGTTGATACCCTGAAGCGTGCTCTTGCCTTGTTTGGATCATTCAGTCCCTCTGTCTACCAGCTGACGGGGGTAATTTGACCGAACAAGCTGCCCTCTAGTTGATTCCATCGCCTCGCTTCTTCTCTCTGTGTAACCAACAACTCCTCCCACTTCCAACTCCCATCTCCTCCATCTTTGCCCAGCTCTTTGCAAAAGCCAATACGTCGTCCTTATTCTCCTCATTCTCATACCCCTCTTCCACTACCACATTCTATCCCTTACGCATCATACAAGTCTCGCGCGATCCTTCGTCATCATGCCTGACGAGAAAGACCCCCCGGTCGCCAAGCCCGAGGAGGCGTCCGACTGCGCCATCGACAGTTCTGATGAGGCCGACGACGAGTACATCGAGGCTCAAATGTCCCAGTCAGAGCTGAAGAAGAAGCAACAGACGCAGCGTCGGACGATCCAGCATATCGTTCCTTTCAAATGGAGCCCGTTGGTGTTGCCTCTGACCGAGTCGAACCTCGAGTCTTGCGTCGCTCTCGAGGACGCTGCGTTTACTGACCCGAGTCATCGCGCTACCCGCGTCAAAGTGAGCCGATTTTTCCTATATTTCTTTTCTCCTCGCTTTGGTCTCTTTACCCAGTCTTAATTTCTCGTGCCCTCGAGTGTCGGTTCGCTGAGCATGAAACTACGGAGGACTCAACTCATTCTCGCATGAGACTTATGCGAGCTTCAAGCCTTAGCGGGCAGACAAGTCGCGTGGCATCTCACGGACAAGTCACCACGTATCAAGGCTCACCCTAAGCTTACACACCTCATCGCAGTTCATGTACCGCCTCGCCACCTGCTCAGACATCTCCACAGGTCTCTTCTGCAGCGTCGTTCCGGCCGAGGCCGAGGCTTTCCCCCTCTCGACCATGACCGTCGCCAGCCCCGTCGAGACAGGTCGAGCCAACGGAGCCAAGCTGGTCCTACTCGGCCACGCCGTCGCGACCCTTGGCGATGGCTCCGTCGTCAGCGACGACGACATGGCCTATCCGGACAACTGGCGCGATCAAAAGTCCGCCAAGAGCACAGATGTCGGCCATAAGATCATGGGCCGCACCCTGTGTCTTCATTCATTCGCCATCGACCCCAAGGTCCAGGGCTTGGGTCTCGGTAAGCTTCTCATGAAGTCGTACCTGCAGCAGATCAACAACTCTGGCGTTGCGGATCGCGTTGCGCTAATCTGCAAGGACGTAAGCTCCTCTAGTTCACCGAGTGACCCTGACTCTTGGATCTTGCAAAATACTGACGAATCGGCAGTGGTTAGTTAGCTACTACCAGCGCTTCGGCTTCAAGCGCGTCGGTCCCAGCAAAGCGTCTTTCGCTGGCAGCGGATGGAATGATATGGTGAATGCTCATACTGTCTACCATCCCTCGTGGCGAAACGACTAACACCCTCCCAGGTTATTGAACTCTCAGGCCCGCCCAAGAAGGGTCCCGATGCCCTCAAGGCGCGCGCCGAGTAGTGCCGTCGCCGTCACCGTCGCTGAGGTCGTTCTAGGACTTTTCTTCATCTTTTTTCACAGTCTTATCCAGTGAGTCTCGGCCATCCGAGCTCTAGACGAGACACAAATTTCTGTCTGTTTTAAGACGAGCTAATCGGAAAGAATGGAGAGTGGTATACTGAGTGGGTTGTCAACTGGGACAGCCTCATACTTGCATGATGGCTTTGCTTTTTTCTTCCTTTTTTTTTGTTGCCCAAGTCAACGTTGTCGAGTTACCACGAGATCTTCAAATCTCAAAAAAGGGTGGTAACATCATGAGGACGACAGGGCCGGAGACTACCTTACGATGAGGACATGACATAGAATGCCTTGCCACCCGGAAGGGAAAGAGCAAGGCAAAATTAAGATACAATCTTTCACAGTGTCCCCTGTTCAGCCTATATTCTATACGTGAGGTTTTGCAGGTGCTGCAAAGTCACTTCCCAAATCACTTTTATCATCCTATGCGCCTTGACCCGAGGGGCCCTATAAAGTTCCCTTCATTCCATCCATCCATCCATCCATCCCTACGAGCGCCAACCGTTGAACACGATGTTCATGATATCACGCCTGCCCAAAAACCAGACTACCAAGGCCTCAACATTTAGTCGGTGGCCTTGTACTTGGCACGGTACTCCTCAGTGCGCTTGATATCCTCAGCAGACGCAAAGCTCTTGGCGCCCTCAATAATGTCGTCGAGCGTCAGGATGGCAAAGATGGGAATGCCGTACTCCTTCTTGATTTCGCCCATGGCGCTAGGGCCAGGCTTGCTGTCGTCGCCGTCCGCAGCAGGGAGCTTCTCCATGCGATCGAGCGCGACGACGATACCAACAACCTCGCCGCCCTCCTTGCGGATCTTGGCAATGGCCTCGCGCTTGGCGGTGCCGGCGGTGATGACGTCGTCGACGATGAGCACCTTCTTGCCCTTGAGCGGCGCGCCGACAATGTTGCCGCCCTCGCCGTGGTCCTTTGCCTCCTTGCGGTCGAACGAGTAGCACGTCGTGCCATAGTTTTCGGGGTCCAGCTCGGCGAGCTTGTCCGTCGTCGAGGTCGCGAGCGGGATGCCCTTGTAGGCCGGGCCGAAGACGATGTCAAAGGACAGGCCGGAGGACTTGCGGGCCTCGATGACGGTGTGGGCGTAGGCGACGGAGATGGCGCGGAGGAGGTCGGCGCGGTAAAAGTCGCCGGCGTTGAAGAAGTAGGGGGAGATGCGCTTCGACTTGAGCTCAAAGGAGCCGAACTTGAGGACGCCGCCGGCGATGGCGGCCTTGAGGAAGTCCTGCTTGTAGGGGGCGAGTTGGGAGGACATTTTGGCGGGATTTCGGTGCCGGAAAGGGGGATTGGTTGGGGGAGGGTTCCTTAAGGGAAATGTGCTGGTCTTCCAGGAGTTTTGCTTGTCGGAGGCTGGAGGATGAAAGATCTCAAACTTGGAGGGAACTTGTTCCGCGGTCGGATACCCCTCCATTCAAGTCTGCCCCGCGGAGAGGCCCCACCAAGCAAAATTTATTGCGATAAAGTTGTGATAAGAGGAGGAATCCGCACTGCCGGACCCTGCAAGGCTTCAACCAGCCGAGACGGACTCTCTGTTGGTTTGATCTACTGGGGCAATTTAGACCGCACTTGTATCAAGAAGTTGACAAACTTCTGGAAATCAATCATCATACCTAGTTTTAATAGTGCGGTTAAGATACACCCTTAAGTGGGCAAGGTACCTAAAGTAGTTGTGACCATCAGCGTTGACTCTTGAGTGCACGACCAAAACCTCTGAGCGGCCACTAAGGGGATGGGGTCCCCCGCCCCACCTGTCCGTGCCGATAAGATAAGCGAACGAGAGAAAAAAATTCGAGTGCAGAACACCGCCCCCCATCCCAAATACCTTCGCGCAGTTCACCGACGGTGCATCTTGACCGATCGCAACATCTGAGGACTGCTTCAAGTTTTTTCCCACGCAGACCCCCAGCCGCCCAAAATGAAGACTCAGTAAGTTATGACCTTGCCACATGCGATCACTTTCAAGGAGGAGCGACATTGCAAAAAACAACATTACCAGTCTTTTGCTAACCATTGCTTTGCGCGGACAGGTGGAAGGATCTCCCCCCGGTCCCCAACTCGCAAGAGTTCCTCGACATTGTCCTCTCGCGGACGCAGCGCCGGCTGCCGACCCAGATCCGTTCTGGTTTCAAGATTTCCAGAATCAGAGGCTTCTACACCCGCAAGGTCAAGTTCACCCAGGAGACCATCAGCGAGAAGCTCGGCCTGATCATCGAGTCGTTCCCTCGCCTCAACGACATCCACCCCTTCCACAAGGACCTGATCAACACCCTCTACGATGCCGACCACTTTAAGATCGCCCTCGGTCAGCTCTCGACCGCGAAGCACCTCATCGAGACCATCTCCAGAGATTGTGCGTAGATCCAGCTCTTTAAAAGTCATTCCACCCGTGTGGGGGAAAAAGGCGGTTTTCGATTTTGGGAGGGGAAATGCAAGTGGCTAACTTGGTGCAATTTGTATAGACGTTCGTCTCTTGAAGTATGGCCAGTCTCTGTTTCAGTGCAAGCAGCTGAAGCGCGCCGCGCTTGGTCGCATGGCGACGCTCATCAAGCGCCTCAAAGACCCTCTGGTTTACCTCGACCAGGTTAGACAGCGTAAGTGGCAATCCGACGACATTGGAGCACGCACAAGAGTTTTTTGTACTGACTGCGAGAACAAACAGATCTTGGCCGTCTTCCCTCGATCGATCCCAACACCAGAACCCTCCTCATCACGGGTTTCCCCAACGTCGGAAAGTCTTCTTTCCTCAAATCTGTCTCCAGAGCCGACGTCGATGTCCAGCCGTATGCCTTCACAACGAAGTCGCTCTTCTGCGGTCACTTTGACTACAAGTACCTTCGTTTCCAGTGCATTGATACCCCTGGTATTCTCGACCACCCTCTCGAGGAGATGTAAGCAAAATCCAGACATTCATAACTCAGGAGAGGGAACCCCAGAATCTGACAGTCCTCACAGGAACACCATTGAGATGCAGTCCGTCACCGCCATCGCCCATCTGCGATCCGCCATTCTCTACTTCATGGATCTCAGCGAGCAGTGCGGCTACTCCATCCAGGCTCAGATCAACCTCTTCCAGAGCATCAAGCCCCTGTTCCAGAACAAGATCGTCTTCATCGTCGTCAACAAGATCGACGTGGTCAAGCCCGAGGACCTCGACGCCGCGACCCAAGCCCAGCTCCAGGGCCTCCTCAAGTCGGGCGAGGTCGAGATGCTCCAGCTCTCCTGCAACACCCAGGAGGGCGTCCAGAACGTCAAGAACACCGTCTGCGAGCGCCTCATTGCCGAGCGCGTCTCCCAGAAGCTCAACGCCGGCACCAACGCCAGCGGCAACATTGGCGGCCGCCTCGCCGACGTCATGGCGCGTATCCACGTCGCCCAGCCCGGCACCAGCCAGCCCCTCCAGACCTTCATCCCCGAGGGCATCAAGAACATGAAGAAGTACGACAAGGAGGACCCGGAGCGCCGGAGGCTCGCCAAGGACGTCGAGGCCGAGAACGGTGGCGCCGGCGTCTACAGCGTTGACATGCGCCAGGACTGGCTCCTCGCCAACCCCGAGTGGAAGCACGACAAGATCCCCGAGGTCTTTGACGGCAAGAACGTCTACGACTTTGTCGACCCGGACATCGAAGCCAAGCTCCAGGCCCTCGAGGAGGAGGAGGAGCGCCTCGAGAAGGAGGGCTACTACGAGTCGGACGAGGACCTCGACGACGAGGAGGAGGCCGACATCCTCTCCAAGGCCGAGATCATCCGCGAGAAGCAAGCCCTCATCCGTAACGAGGCCAAGATGAAGAAGCGCCTCAAGAACCAGGCCATCATCCCCCGCAAGTCTCAAAAGGTGCCCCTCTCCCAGATGGACGACGCCCTCGACCAACTCGGCGTCGACACCACCGACATTGTCAACCGCGCCCGCGCCCAGTCCCGCCCCCGCGGTCGCTCCTCCGGCCTCTCCCGCGCCGGCACCGAGGACGTCGACATGATGGACACGGACGCCACCCCGCGCGAGCGCCTGCGCTCCCACAGCCGCGCCCGCAGCCAGAGCCGCGCCCCCATCGTCAACAGGCGCGAGGACGGTGTCCAGGACGACGAGGCCCGCGACAAGGCCGACCGCCTCGCCAAGCTCTCCCAGAAGAAGCGCAACCGCATGGCGAGACAGGGTGAGGGTGATCGTCACACCACCGTATCGCTGCAAAGGCATTTGGTAAGTCTTACTCCACCCATAAACTGAAACACTCTATCCAAAGTTGAAAAGCAAAATGCTAACCAAATTTCTTCTTCTCTACTACAGGTTGCCGGCAAGCGTGGCCTCGGCAAGAACCAAAGACGTTAAGAAATCCCACCATCACTGCCATCGCCAGCAGCGGGAAGGCGGGAAGCCGGGGAAAAAAGACGGTAATGGATGTTTACGGAAAGAGAATAAAAGTAAATATGCTTCATTATTTTTCGAAAAGGGAGGCATGGAGGGCGTTTTGTGGTCTTTTTTGTTTCGTTTGCTGCTGCTACTGCCTTGTTTGTGTTTTCTTCATTCCTTCAATTCTCTTGCGGACACAAAACCACATCACATCACATCACATCCGAAGAGGTCGTCGGTATGAGGCTCCTATGAGTTGGGAAGCTACGAAGGAGATGGGAGAAAAGGAGACGGGGGAATTTCTGCGATGTCTTTTTTTGAGAAACGTATATCAAAAAAAGCGTCGTAGCATTACCAGCTTTACGTGTGTCTAGATGTTTGTTGGCTTTTCCAAAGCTACAAATCAAGGACCATTGAATACCCTGAATGAGAAACCTAAAATAAATCACCAGAAGACTTGAAGTGAGTCCATTTGTGAGCACTGTACTGCAAGTATCATAAAATGTTGC